TAGTCAAACACAAGTTATTGGATCAATGCAGAGGTAGCTATATGAAATCATATGGCATGTGTTATACAGGAGAGCAGACTAAATGATCTAATGGTCCTTTCTGGCATTAAAAATCTATGACTATAATGGAAATTGGATTCATTACAAGTACATATTCTGTCTGTCTAAAATTATATTAATCCTCCTTTTTGGGGTTTCTTCCCCCTCCCCCCAGCTTCTTTCAGAATCTCTTTGCTGGAACTTGTTCTTTTTTGACACATCATCTTAACTACAGCACAAACTGTCTTATTTTTAGATTTGTGAATCATCTAAAAGGACAAATATGTTGGCCAAAATATATTTACCTATTCCTGACAATACTGTACTGCAAAGCAAAGGTGTATTGGAACAGGCGGAATTTAGCTGTGACCAGCAAGTTAAACCCATAAATGGAGAAGTGGGAAGCAGTAAGTTACTTATACGTGAAAAAGATTTGAGCCTGGCTTAGTGGTTTGTTGGCAGAATAGTGCACTGCGAGACCGAGGTCTTAAATCTAAATTCTTTGACTGATGCTTGAAGAAGAGTTGATAGTCTCCTCGGGGAGTAGTGTTTGGCCTCCTTCCTCCTGACCTCTTACACCAAACCTGTGGTAGTATTTAGTATTTTTCAGAGCTATGTCAGAGTGAAAGCACTTTGCATTACTCTAACACTGAGACCTTCCTTTGAAATGCCCTTCCTGTAGCTCACTCTGCCATGACACAGACACTTGGTAGTTCCTCCTCATTGGCAAAATGATGACCATTCACCATCCAGGATTTTCCTGCTGTTCGGAGCGTCCTTCTCTGCTTATCCAGTTCAATTAATACCTCACTGAGAGAAACACATAAGAAGTTTGACTTCTTTGAGTAGTGTCCCTATGATTGCTCCACTTCAGGTGCACGTGCATCTCTGGAGTCCTTGATCGGAGATTTTCTGTTAGCAGCATCTGTTCAACCTGCACATGCATTCTATGAATCCTTGTGCCATTCACCGAGGTGAGATAGGGCTGCCCGGTGAACCGTTCTAAGTTCCTAATCAACCATCTCAGCCTGAGACGGAGCCTTAGTATGTCTGCCTTGAGCATGCCTCGTCTATCTCATGCAGTTTCTTATGGTTGGTTGTTTAGGATTAGCTTAGTGTAGTTAATTGTTAGTAGATAGTTTATAGTTAGTTAGTTAGATATAAGTAGTGAGAAGATTTATTTGTTTCCTTTCCCTCCCTTTGGAGAGTCTTATTCTCCTGATATAGCATGCCTGGCTCATCTCTCCTGTTGAGAGGCTATACCTGTTAGTGACCCATTCCAAGTATATTTGTTTGAGGGAGTCTCACATCTCCCAGAAATGCAACTTCTGCCTGGCCCTCATATCCAGGGCAAAGAAGAACAGTGTGATTGAACTGAGACTGTTCATGATGGAGTGCTCCCTTTGACATGCTTCTGAGTCAGGTCAAGAGTTTCCCCCACCCCCACTCCACCTGTCTCTGGACAGATCAAATGGCCCTTCAGCCTCAGTGCAGGTTCCTAAGAAAAGGAAGGCTATGGAAACTTCAGAGAAAGCTTTGAAGAAGAGGCACTCGGACACTCTCATCTTAAGGAGCTAGTTCTTAAATGGCCCCAGTCCTTTGCTATATCCACATTCTTGGAAGCCTCGACCTCTCGGCTCTGTACCATAGAGGCAAAAGACTCCTCCTGTACTAGCGGGGCTGGAAAGTCCTGGAGAAACACATCTCTGATAGGGTCCTGGTACCGTCTACGAGGGACAAGGTGGGCATGAATAAGCACTCCAGACAGTTACCTTCTGGCACAGCCCCACTGTCAGTACCTACCCACTGAGCACCCTTGGTACCAGGCAAACCACAGTGTCGGTATATTCCCAGTCAGTGGTACAGCCTTCTTCGGCTACCAATTTGGTACCAAGCCCCTACTTAGTACCACAAGAATTAAGGACTTGTTTGTGACGGATGAACCAGAGTTCCCATTGCTTATGTGTACCAAATGCCTCTGGGTACTGAGACACTGATCTCCAGATTACCATTGTTTTCTGGTTACATGGGACTCTCAACCCTTTTTCATTGGTGTCTCCCAGTTGGAGGTTACTGAGGAGGATGAAGAAGACTTCCGGTTAGTCTTTTCTATTTCTGTACATGGTGCTTCTACATATCCCAGAGCTGCTTATCAGTAGCGATTCACTAGACCACCAACACTATTACATAGGGAGGCTGGAATTGGACAGTCCTCTGCCCCATTCAAAACTGAGTGATAGGCACGTATTGGCCAGAGAGGGGGTGCTTGCGAGAGTCGGGTACGAACTCTATTATATTATGGTATCGGGATGAGGATCTTCAGACCTGATCCACAAGGGCCGTGAAGAGGCAGTAAAACAACTGAGGCTGAGGCAGCCACGGAAACAACAGGCAAGATTTTAACTGTTTTATTGTGTAAAGCCAGAGGCAGAGGCCGAAAGAGAGCCACAGGCAAAGGCAGTAGCACAACAAAGCCAGTGTCAGAGGCAGAGGCAAAGGAGAGCCAGAGGCAGAGGTGTACTGAAAGGGCTCTTGAATGCTCTATGGTAAGAGAGACCTGGGAGAAAAGACCCTGACTGACAGGGGCAAGGAAAAGAATATGCCCTTACTGAAGTGGGGGCAGAAGAGGACTGAGGGAAGAACCACTGCCCCAATCCTGTCTGAGAGGGGAGGTGTATGATGGGCTGGACTAGGTCCTGAGGCCCCCTGCTGGAGGCCTCATAGCCCTGCCTCACCCCGCCCCAGAAAAGAACAGAGGAGAAGTCCTCCTGGCAGCCTAGAGTGAATGCAGAGGAAGCAGCCAACCAAAGGGGCTGCTGGAGCAACCAATCAGGGGCCAGAAGTGCCATGTAAAAGGAAGCAGCAGAGGCAGAGCAGTCAGTTGTTGCCTGGAGCTTGAAGAGGGAGGACTGGGTGCTTGGCTGGCTGGAAGAGCAGCTGGACTGGGGACAGGTCAATGCAAGCACGCTGAGCCCAGAGGACTGAGTCCAGAACCTAGCCAGACCAGGTGAGGGTACCATGAGGGGCCCTGCTGGTCTGGTTGAAGACTGAGCCCAGGCGAGGGCTGCCAAAAGGACACCAACCTAGGGTACCAAGATGGGCCCTTGTTGGGCTGTTAAAGAAGGCAGTGCCTCCGGGAAGGAAACCTTGGTGCTATCTCCCTATACCAGGGCCGTGAGCAAGAACTATAGACTATATACCCTGGAAGGGGCGATAGTGGTCTGCTGAGTGACTGAAGACCGGCCAAAAGAACCATCGGCCAGGGGTGGGGGCACTCGCGAGAGGCAGGTGCCACCCCATCGTAAGAACAGGAGAAAGCAGGCTCACATCTGACCAGAAGGGGGTTCCCGCAAGAGGAGGGTGCCGCCCCATTCAAAACAGAGTGATTGCAGGCATATATCGGCCAGAAAGGGGCACTCGCAAGAGGCAGGTGCTAATGCCATTACAGCCTCATAGAGGTTATAACGTCAAGCTATACCATCCACTTTATGTCCCTCCCTCCCTTTCACGCTTTTCCCTGTCCCTCTTCAGGGACCTCTCTCACGAGCTTTTATTGAAACAAGAAGTGGACTCTCTCCTTCAGCTAGGAGCAATAGAGCTAATCTCACCTCACAAAGGGAAAGGGTGTTACTCAAAGTATTTCCTTGTGCCAAAGGAGGATGGAGAACAATTTTGGATCTAAAACTACTAAACAAAATTTTAAAGCCTCCAAAGTTCAAGATGGTGACTCTGGCAGCTATAATTCCTTCACTAGAGGAAGTAAATTTTGTTTTTGACCCTTGACCTACAGGATGCCTATTTTGATATAGTGTTACACCCATCACACATTAAATACCTATGTTTTACTATAGGCCAGAATCATTTTCAATAGTGAATTCTTCCATCCAGCTTTTCTTTGGCCCCAAGGGTATTTTCAAAGGTCCTGGCAATAGTGGCTGCTTACCTCTGATGAAAAGCAATTCTAGTCTTTGTGTACCTCAATGACTAGCTACTCAAAACCAGTCCTACAAGGCAGTGCTGTCTTCACTCAGACAGCTCTTTTTTCAAGGAATTGGGTCTCCAGATAAATGTATAAAAAATCCATATTAACCCCTGTACAGAAAATACTACTCAGGAGTTTTCTTTGATTTGTTGGCAGCCAGGGCCTACCTTCCTATAGACTGATTCATAACTTTGTCAGGTCTGGTCAGGGTTATGCAGGGGAGTCCTCAAATTACAATAAGGAACTCTTGGGACACATGGCAGCTTGTACCTTTGGGACTGATCATGCAAGGTTATGCCTCTGCTGCTTCCAGGGCTGGCTCAGAATGACCTATTCACCAGCCAGAGACACTTTGGACAGGCAGATCAAGGTTCCTCTCCAGGTGAGAAACTCCCTAGCCTCGTGAAAAAATCAACTCACCGGCAGTGCAGTCATTCCTCTCATTCACCGAGCTGCAACTTTAACTTTGACAATAGATACATCACTTTTGGGAATGGGGGCTCACCTCAATGCCCTCATGACTCAGGGCAGATAGACACCTCTGGAAACCAGTCTCCACATCAACATGCTGGAATTTAGGGCAGTCAGGAATGTCTGCTTTCATTTCCTACTCCTTATTGGGGTAAATAAATTAGGATCATGACAGAAATGTGGCCTGCATATCAACAAACAGGGAGGAGGAAGATCTCCCTCCCTGTGCCCCAAAGCTATGAAACTGTAGAACTGTTGTATAGCCCATCTGTCATAACTATAAAGGGAAGGGTAACAGCCCTCCTGTGTACAATACTATAAAATCCCTCCTGGACAGAGACTCCAAAATCCTTTTACCTGTAAAGGGTTAAGAAGCTCAGGTAACCTGACTGACACCTGACCCAAAGGACCAATAAGGGGACAAGATACTTTCAAATCTTGGTGGGGGGAAGGCTTTTGTTTGTGCTCTTTGTTTTGGTGGGAGTTCGCTCTTGGGACTAAGAGGGACCAGACATCAATCCATGCTCTCCAAATCTTTCTGAACAAGTCTCTCATATTTCAGACTTGTAAGGACAGCCAGGCAAGGCGTGTTAGTTTTATCTTTGTTTTCTCAACTTGTAAATGTACCTTTTACTAGGGTGTTTGCTGTAACTTTGAACCTAAGGCTAGAGGGGGTTCCTCTGGGCTCTTTAAGTTTGATTACCCTGTAAAGTTATTTTCCATCCTGATTTTACAGAGATGATTTTTACCTTTTGCTTTAATTAAAAGCCTTCTTTTTAATAACCTGATTGATTTTTCCTTGTTTTTAGATCCAAGGGGATTGGATCTGGATCCACCAGGAGTTGGTGGGAGAAAGGAGGGGGGATGGTTAATTTCTCCTTGTTTTAAGATTCAAGGGGTTGGATCTGTGTTCACCAGGGAGTTGGTGGAAGAGTCTCTCATGGCTACCCAGGGAAGGGAGTTAGCCCATTGGGAGTGGTGGCAGCGGACCAGATCTAAGCTGGTAGTTAAGCTTAGAAGTTTTCATGCAGGCCCCCACATCTGTACTCTAAAGTTCAGAGTGGGGAAGGAGCCTTGACACCATCAGATCCAAATTTGAGCCATCTACCTCGCAGGTATACAGAACACCACAGCCAGGACTACAAATGGAAGCTAAACTCTCAGATTTTCCACAAAATATTCCAAAGGTGGGGACTTCCAGAGGTGGATCTCTTTATCACCTCCAGGAACAAGAAGTGTTCTCTATTCTGCTCACGAGGAGGTCAGGGCCACCACTCTTTGGGAGACACCTTTCTCCTGTCTTGGACAAAAGGTCTGTTCTATGAGTTTTCTCCAACACTTACACCAATACTTGTGATGAACAAGATCAGACAGGAAAAATCCAGGGTTATCCTTCTAGTACTGACCTGGCTGAGACAGGCTTGGTACCCTTACCTGCTTCAGCTATGCGTCCAACTGCCATTTAAGCTTCCGACCATTACTCATTTCCTCTCCCAGGATGTGGGTTATGTGCTTCACACCAGCCTAGGAGTTCTCTGTCTCAGGATGTGGTTCTTCAATGGTTTGTGAGGTTATAAAATGGTTTGGTTCTGTTCTGCAGAAGTGCAAGAGATACCACTGAACAGTAGAAAGGAGTCAACCCAAATTACTTACCTGCAGAAATGGAAGAGATTCTTCCACTGGTGTTTCCATTGCCATTTCGTGCCTGAATCTGTGTTGCTGACAGTTATCCTGGATTACCTGTTGATCTAAAGAAATTGGAGTTATCAGTTAGCTTGATTAAGATCCACTTTGCTGCGATGTCAGCCTTTCATCCTCTAGTAGACGGGTTCTTCATATTTGCTCAGCCTGTGTCATCTAGGTTCATTAATGGTATGGGGAATCTGCCCCCAGGTTAGGGACCCCACTCTTACTTGGGACCCTAACCTAATATTTAAATACATCATGAAACCTCCATTTGAACCAATGCCAACTTGCTCTCTGCTCCATTTATCTGTGAAGATGCCCTTTTTGGTAGCTATCATTTTGGCCTATAGGATTGGGAGGATTGGGATCTTGATGACAGATCCCCTTCTTTGCGGTGTTCTTCATGGACAAAGTCTCTTTATGCCCAAACCCTAAATTCTTACCCAAGGTTCTATCAGAGTTTAAACTTAACCTGTCCATTCATCTACCAGTGTTTTTTCCAAAACCACATAAGGCCCTACAGGAGACCTGTTTTCATACCTTAGATGTTAGAAAGACACTGGCTTTCTACCTTGATAGAACCAAACATTTTCAAAAGATACCTACACTGTTCATTTCGTCCCAGCTAGATCCAAGGCGTCCACGATTTCTCAGAGATTGTTGAAGTGGATCTCTAGGTGTATTATTATGATGCAGCTGACGTTCATCTCCCTCAGAGGGTGACAGCAGAGTCTTCAAGTTATGAGCAATATCCACAGCATTACTCAAGAACTTTCCGGTATCTGAGATATGTAGAGCCACTACACAGGCTTTAGTACATACATTTTCTAAACATTACACACCTTGATCTATCCCCAAGATCCAATGCAGTGCTTGGCAATGTAATACTCTCTTCAGTTCTAGACCCAATTCTGAAATTCTCACCTCCCACCTGGAGATACTGCTTGGGAGTTGCCTGAAGTTGAGCACTCATCGGGCTACTTCTCAGAGAAGAATAATACATTACTCACCTTGTGCTGTAACTGCAGTTCTTTGAGATGTGTATCCCTATGGGTGCTCAACAACCTGCCCTCTTCTTCAGACTTTTCTCTGTGGGACATTTGGATGCAGAAGGAAATGAGGGTGGTTCATCCATACAGCCCTATATAGCATCAGTGTGCGGCATGAGGATGCATAAGACGCAAGCATGGGCCAATGAACAATGCTAACAGAAAATCTCTGATCAAGGACTCGAGATGCGTGGGCACCTGAAGTGGAGCACCTATGGGGGGACACATCTTGAAGAACCACAGTTACTACACAAAATGAGTAACCTCTTCTTATGAGGTTGCATCTGGACATCATTTGCCTTTCTAGGGAAAGAGAGAAAATAAGATCCATCTCAACTATGTCTTTCTTACATGGGCTTTAAGTATATTTTGGTTTTTCTGTTCACACAGAGAGAAACATCCACTATTTCAGTGCAGTGAAGTAGCAGCTGAAGTGATTTCTGGAGCTGTGACAGGAAAAAATAGCCTGCTCAACTTTTCTAATTGAGGAGGGAAACTCATCTGTGAAGCCAGAAGCTCTCCTTGAAGCAGCAACAAAATGAGGCAGCTTCTGAGGTGGTCTCTGGAGCAGTAAAAGAAAAACCTAGCCCTCCCATCTCACATGTGGGGAAGAGACAGTTCCGGAACTAGCTTCAGTCTCTGAGAGCTTATCTACATGGATACTTAGTTCATGGAAAACCAGGAGATGAATCTAGAGCTCACTAGCTTGCCACACCCTAACTGATAGTGTAGACCTGCTACCAGGCACTAAAAGTTCCATAATCGCTTTGATATACTGATGTTTGCAGTACATCAGAGTGTCCTACAAAACTTTTGGTGCACAAGTAGCAGGGTCCACACAGCCAGTTAGTGTGCTGCAAGCTAGTGGGCGGTAGAGTCACATTTTGGTTTGCTGCATGCTAAATTTCTGTGTAAACAAGCCCTGAGGAAGAGGTGCCTCAGACTTCCACAGAGTGAGGATCTCAATGAGCCTTCTTCATGCTATTTTCTCTGGCATATAGTATCTGAGTGGACCAGTGAGTGCTTCCTGTTTTGCTAAATTTTGCCAGTAGGTTTTAACCTCTCCTCTAAGAAGTTTCCTACAAAGCCTTTTTAAGGATTGCTGGGAGTTTTATTGTGTTTCTGAAGAGTTATTTGAAATCTGTAAGTCAGTGTGTGACACAGAGGCCCAATGGTGGTTCAGTAACCTGTGAGCAACTCTTGTCAGGCTTGACAAACTCACTACACCTAACACATTGCTGTCACAGTATTTATCTGTACAGAGCATCTTGTAAGATATTGAATGACAGCCAGTGGCACATTAGTCATTAATATCATTATGAGTGTGTGTGTGTGTGTGTGTGTGTATATATATATGTATATGAGTACTTACCAATATTATGCTTTAAAATCTGTAACCAAACAAAGGGAAAAACAGGTTTTCTTCCAGACAGGAGTGAGGGTAGTTATTTCCTTGTCTCTAATGTAATGAGCATTGTGGAGCTGAATACAATGGGAGCTGCATTTGTATGTCAACAGGAAAAGGCAGGGGGATGGCAGGATGTGAAATCAGTATGTGAAGACACCAGAGACTAGATCCATGGGCCGGGGTGATGGTGGGGAGAGGGTTGTCTTGTCTTTGGGGTCAAAACAGTGAGCTGGGGGGGAGGAATATAAAGAAAAGCAAAAGGAACATTTTTGATTCATTTCACTGAAGAACACTCCTGGTGGAGGGGAGTAATTCATGAAAAATTTGGATCTTGATTTGACTGAAAATCAGCAAACTCTGCAAAAGGACTTTGAGGGTGAGAAAACTATTTTAGCCAAAGGATTGTAGCTTGCTAAAGTTAGGTTTAGTCTCTTAGAAATGTGTTATACTTTTGTTTCAGTTGTAACCATATCTGTTTCTACTACCCTTACTCAGTATCACTTGAATATCTATCTTTGTTAATAGCTTCTCTTTGTTTTATCATAAGTAGATCTCAGTGCTGTAATATTAAGTAAAGTGTGAATTCTTGGTTGAATCAAATAAGTTGGTGTGTACACTGTCTCTTTGGAGACAGTGGACTTGTTAATTACTGAGAGTGCCTAGTGACTGGTGCTGGATATCACAGGGGAATGCTCTTAAAGGGGGCTCACGGACTTGTGTGCTCCAAGTGTTAACTTCAAAGCAAGGAAGGGACTGGCAGAGTCCTGAGAAGTTTGACTGGGATGGCTAACAGACTGGGGTGACAGGAATCTGTGACTCAGTTTAGCACCAACAAATCTCTCTCTTGCTGAGGCAGGGGGTGGTAACAAGGTAAACCACAGTTCTGGGCACACCGAGAAAGTATAACACAATGGTTTTGCCATTTTCATATCACGTTTTTGTGACTGGCCTAGTGAGCCATGGTTCTGAGGAAGGAGATATCCTCTAATTCAGAATCTGGATGCCAAGTCCAAGAACCAATAAAGAAGGTCTCAAAAGGATTGGGAATAGACCTGTTTTTTCAGAATTCCCTCCCAGTCAATTCCTCACTCCAGCAGATCACAAACTGCCTATTGATCCCTGTCAGAAATTCTTGCTAGATCTGCTAAGGAACTGTACATATTCCCGAAGATCTGGGGGATGAATGGCTCTCCTCCTTTAGGCCCCAGATCAAGAAAGCATCCTGATTCAGAAAAGCACTTAAGTATGTGCTTATATCCTAAAGAAGTCTTGGGATGTGGGTGTGAAAGACTAGTCACTGGGGTGTGGAAGATGTATAAATTAAGATGAGTAGACCTTTAACAACAAATGGCAGGGTTGAAGGATCAGTGTACTTGGGTTCATTTTTCTGAAAATCTCAGCTTTCAAAAGCTGGGGGAAAGCTGAACGAGAGAGAACTTTAAATTTAATTATACTGATTTATTTTCTTCCAACAACTTTTAATTTACAGATGTACCTTTTCTTCTGGATGAAAATGAAACTGAAGAGGTGTGTCTTTTGACATCAGGAAAACTAATGTATTCCTTATCCTGGGCGGTCGATGAGGAAGGAATTCCGTTAGCCCCTGTATCTCAGAAAATAATCTCTGCTTGTTACAGGTAATAATAAATCTTATATTTCTATAAGATTGTCACAGGTTTCACTAAATAGCATCTCATGTTTAATACTATGGGAAAAGTTATGCTAAATTATCATTTGCTTTATGGCAAGGTATTCTGTATAATGCTAATTTACTGTAGACCACAGTTAACCTATTTTCTACAGATTTCTTGGGTGTTTCCATCTTTATTTTTCTTGTAGTCATGACTTAGAATAAGACTGAACCTGATGATGTCTGTGAGAATTGGAAATGTTTGCTAAACCATTATGTATATAGTATATAGGAGCTAATGTATGACAAAATAAGTGAAAGTCTTGCATTCCTTTTTAGTGTGCCAAGAAATATAAATGCAGAAATAGCTACTGGACTCTTGTGGTTCACTGACAGACAGAAGCTTACTGAATGGGCCAAAGAAGTCAAGATTGATCCTAATGACCCTGAGTATTCAGATTTGATGGAATTCATTATGGTAATGTTTAGCAGAGTTCAGTATTAGGAATTTGTAATAATAATTTATAATTGATTCTAGAAGAAACTATGTATTGAGTCTAACATAACAGGAGTTAGGGAATTTCTAGATATTGACTACTAAAGCATTTTTTACAGGAGATCTTTGGCTCCAAGGTTATAAATAATATGGGCCTGAACTGTGAGACTACTTCTGTTCAAGATTTCTGGAGATGCCAAAAGAAGTGGGAGCAAAGCTGAATAATTTATGTATATACTTGGAGCAACAAGATGAAAGTGTTGCTCCCTAATTATAAGTGTGCCTATTTTTATTTTAGATTTTACTTGAATCAGATAGTTACCCCCTCTCCTTTTCTTCCTGTCATATCCTTTTCCCTTTCCCTAACTTTGGTCACTTGCTCTGAACTCTTTCTGGTCATTCTTCCTTCTGGTGTCATACCACACTATGAATCTTACCCCATTGTTTAGATGAACCGTAGCAGACTTAGATCATCAATCTATGGATTCTATGAAAACAAATGATGGTGAAGCCCGGGAGAGCAAATGAATAAAACAATTTGCAGCCATCTTGTGTGATGAATTTTATTCTTTGTTTCTGTTTCAAGTCTTGTCATTTCGGTACATCATTTAGAGATAGGAAGCACAAAATCTGTGGGAAGGATCAGGGGTGAGGAAAACACACTGATGGGGAGCCTCATAGGGTTTTCCCTACTTCATTCACTCTGTGGATCTCAGGGATTCAGAAGGAAGTTAACTTTATGCATGGAAACAGGAGCCATCCTACCAGAGACACACTGCTGTCAGTTAGGTGATCCTATAGTTGCTCAGTAGTAGCTGCAGAGATTAACCAGGTGGTGGTCAAATGTGGTGCAATGGTAATAGTTGAAAATTACTGGGGCTCTGTGGACTTATTCGAGAGTCCATGTAATGACTTCTGATCACTGCCTGAACAGCTGATTTCCCAATGCAATTTGGGGAATTTTTCAATAGCGAGAAGAGGCTTCACTGCTACAAAATCTAGTTTAATTTTCATTTTGAAGTTTTTGAAAGACTAAGCGTTGTCTCCTTTGATCCCTTTGTAGATACTGAGTAGGCTGCTTCAAAGGTGGTAGTTATAGACTCTGTTTCTCTTTGTAATATTTTACAACATATACTTTAAGCAAAGCACCTGGATCACCTGGATCGATCAGTCTTCAACTGTCATTAAGACTGCGCAGATCACAACACGTCCACCATTCTTCTCGCATTCTTGCCTTTCTTCTCCACGTTCATCCGAAACGTTTAACAATGTCATCTTCCCATCTTCTTGGAGGCTGACCAGGTGGTATTTTCTGTTCTTGCGGGTACCACTCAGTAATGATTGCGGTCCACCTATTGTCCGTGAACAGTGCTATTTTAAGAAACATCTTCATTAGAATTTCCTAGGCCAATGGATGTATACAGAGATAGTATGGATTAGTCATTCATTTAATTTCGGTGACAGAGAAAAATACTAGGTGGATTTTTAAAGAAAAAGAACAAATAAAAATGCCATACAAACTCAAATGTCTGTTTCTCCTTAAAGTTAATACCAATAGAAAAAATGTGGGCCTTTGTTCACATAATAAAATCTATGCTGAAGAGAAGCTCCAAATAATAGCAATGGTATTGCAGGTCATACTGAGATGTATTGTTAGAAGTATGGGAAGTTTACTTAGAACCTGTTGGTTCTTTGCTTGGCTCAAGCCAGTAGTTGCACTTTATAAAAACAAATAGCAAAATTTATTAGTCATCACCCAAAAAGTTTTAAAATATTTGAACCTTGCTTTTACTTTCTCTAACAGTATGCAAGATCCAAGGAACAAACTGTGTCAAAATATTTTCGTCTTGAACAGCTGCAAGAAGAATTTAACTTTGTTACTGAAGAAGAGATTAAAAAGTGTAAACGTTTCCAGCTGTTGCAGCTTAGGAACTCAGAGCAGTTAGATTTCTGCCATTTTCGGCAAATACCACTGTATGATAGAGAGATACCAGATGCAGTCATTCAGGTATTTGTTTCATGTTATATATGACAATCTGAGTTTAATATTAATCTTTCATTTTTCACAGTAGTTGAATTCAACTTTCCTCTTCCTATTTGATTTCTATATGCAGCAAGGACATGTGTAATCTTTTACAGTATCATGATATAATGCTTAAGAGCCAAATTCCAATGTCCTTATTCATGTTGACTAGCACTTCATTACTCAAGTAGTCCTTGTTGAGTTCAATGATGTAAAGTGCTAGTCAGAGTAACGTGACCCTGAAATTTTAACACAATAAATTGGACAACATTGCTTTCAGTCTCTAGGAAATAATTGCTTTTTGTGACCTTAACCCAAGCATAGATTCTTCTAGTGCTGCTAAGAAAAAATGAGGGCAAACATAGACACTTCTTGGGATCCTGTTATATTAGCTATTTCTGAATGCTCCTGATGACATTTTTTTAAATAAAAATATTCAGGGATGTCTTTTGCTTGATCTTTTGTCCCCTCTAGCTCTTTCTGATACCAAACGAGTTCTAGACAGTGTTGGTAATTCTCCTTTAATACAACTGCCCTGGCTGGGATGATTTAGGTGGGGTTGGTCCTGCTTTGAGCAGGGGTTTGGACCTCCCGAGGTCTCTTCCAACCATAATCTTCTATGATTCTATGAACTGCCTGTTTTGTCCTGTGGTCCTTCTTTGATCATCAGTATTCTCTCTAGGATGCATGGGTAAGTATGCATAACATAGATAGAATGCAACATGTAGTAAAGACAGTGGCCACAGAATGGGAACTTTGCAATAGCATTTCCAGTCCTCCCACAAGTATGGTTAATATCAGGAAGTGCTGGCATTGTTTGCTGATGATATTCAGCTGTTTATATGTTTTGACATCTTTAATGTTTAGCCTCTCTGCATGCTCTCACAAAGTAAGCTTGTGGCTTCATCTTCATTTTCTTCAGCTAAATATCTCAGGAAATACAGCCAGAGGAAAATCCTGCAGCACCACTCCATCTCCTCTGTCTTCCTTCTTGACTCAGACATTCCATTTGCCTCCTTTTCTCTTATTCTGTCATCATCCCTGACTCTAAACTTTCTCCTTCTCCTAGGGTGGCAGTTTTATCTAGCACACACTCCACAACATGGACTATGTGTGCCACCATCACTATTTCAGATTCACCTTGGCTGAAACTCCTCCATGCTTTCATCTTCTCTCATCTTGATTGGCTATGGCCTCCCCAAGTTCCAGTTCTCCAAACTGCAAAATACTTTGGCTCATTTTCTCACACATACAGAGAATCATGTTTTCCTCTCAAATTTCCCCACTGGCTCCCTAGTTCATTGCAGTATTCATTTCAGAAATGCTCTACTTATTTTTAAAACCCTCCATAGACTGTCTCCAACAACCACCAGCTTTTTCTTTGTCTTTTCACACAACCTCACAACTGGTGGTTCAAGCACTTTTTCTTTTCCTATTTCTCTTCCTTTGCCCTCTGCTCAGTTTGCATCAGTTTTTTTCTTGGTGTTGTCACACAGTCTCACTACTTTTAGTTCCAACACATTTTCCCCTGTCGTTCCTGTTTTCATAAAACTGCTTTTCTGTATTTCTGCACCTCTTTGACTCTCCTTTTGTTTTCAGCTCATGTATGGGGAAACACATATTTCTCCTCTTGCCTATATATTTTAATTTCCGTTTCCCACTGTTGTTGTTAGTTACAGTTTTGTAAATGTTTAACTTTGTGAAGTGTTTAGGGATACACTTTGAGAGAATCCAGCAAAGATGTCATATTCTGGAACTTCTGTTAATTTCATCATAGTTTTTAAAAAGTGGAACATAATATAGGTTGTTTAAATGCCTCTCTTCGTTTTCTTTAAAAAGTTTTGTAAAGATCAGTGTATGATCCAGGAAAATTACCTAATTCTATATTCAGGAATATGAAAGCCAGTTAGAGAAGGATATATCAGTGACAGATGTGGATCCTATTACTGCTCAAAGGATTAGGTCTGCCAACTTTATAAGGAAGGTATGACAAATATTGACATGACTGTGTTGGCTATGAGAAAAATGACTTTTTCTTTTCAGAATCTGTAATGTGAAAGTAATACTTATTACAATGTTGGATTGAAATGTACTAGAAAATGAATAGCAGTAGAATGTGCAGCAGCAGTCCAAACTTCTTCACTAATGATCCTAAAACCTTTTCTGAAGAGATGACTTCTGGAGCTGAGTCTCTGTACCCATACAATCCTTGGCTTCCAGACTTTAAATAAGGGAGTCATTTGTGATTGTGTTTTTGGTGAGCTGGACACCTGTCCTCAATTGGACTGAGATCACCAATTAATTTTGTATAGAATACTGAATAGCTATCAGATGGTGATGACTTCTGGTTCCTACCAGCCAGCACTGAAATTCAGCTGATGACCTAGAGGTGAGGGGCACCATGTTCCATTACCAATGTCTGTCACTGCACTGTATGCATTAGCAGCAGAATGACGATGACTAGGGCCCAGACCAAGGGCTCACATCTGTAAGATGCTGAGTAATTCCTGTGGCATGTTGAATCCTCTTAACTCTTATTGAAGTAATAGCACCTCAGCATCTTCAGAAGTAGAATTTAAGAAATTAATATTTTAGTAAATTACTCCGTTGCTGCCATACACAAAGTCCAGTAGTGGTGAACAAATTTAAATAATGGAGGCAGGGATACACTAGAGAAGGTGAAGAGGGCTTTGAAACTTTTTCTTCTTAGCTGGTTGTAATGGGAGTTTGTTTCATGACACTCTTGACTAAGAAGATTAGGATCAAGGATTTCTCCTCGGTTGCCCCCAGGGGACTTTATCAGTGTCCAGCCAAATTACTCAACCTGAGCGTGGGGAGAAGTTTTCTGCCCATTAGAATCATCATGTACGTTAATTCAGTGGGTGAAATTTTGTGCTGCAGATCTAAGAGGTACAGCACAAATCTCTCAACACAGGTTGTGGGAGGAAAGTGGCTTAATGCCATCTTTGCAGATTCCAGTCTGCTGCAGGGGCCAAAATGATCCCCAGCATAACTAAGGCAGCCTGGGGAAGCTGTCTAAGTTATCGTGACCTCTTCAGGCTGCCACATGGTTTGCAGCATAAGGCAGAACAGTAACAGAGGTATCTGTGATGTCTACACTACCTCACTTTCCCTTCCATCTAATCTGCGACCTATTTGCTGGGGCTTGCAGTAGTGGACTTGCAAGGCAGTGTAAGCTGCTTTGAAGAATTCTGAACTTGGGGACCCTCTCCTGGCCAGATCCAGGGCACTGTAGCATGAAAGTGCCATAGTGGAGAATTCCTGCCTATATATTTACAAATGTGAATTTTCATTTTAGAGATGTTATCTTTCATTAAAAACTCAATTATTTTTTGCAGATGAGAAAACTAATTTTAAAGCGACTTGTCAAAGTTAAGCACAAATTTAATTTAATGGATATTGTGAGCGATTATGAAGAAATTATATCTATGAGGTATAACTAAAAACTAAACTTTGAATTAATGAATGTATCAAAAGATTATGAATTTATGAAAATGCATTACTTTATTAATGTAATATTTTACTTGGCAATTTTGTAATACTATATATTTTCAAATTGGTATATGAGAATTTAGCCACATGACTCTCACTGAGTTTAATGGATGTGAGTTGGCTAAAAGCTAAAAAGAACATTTTAGGTGATAGTCATTTTAAAAGTGATTGTTTAACAGTTCACAGTATGAACTTTTGGAGGGAATAGGTAGAAAAATAGAAAGAATGTTTTAATTGGTAATTTTTTAAATGTATGGTTCTATTCTGAAAATGTTCTAGTTTTAGTATTGCATAAACTTGCTAATCTTGCTTCTGTGCAGGACTTGCTTGGGGAATATCGGGTTATCAGGTTTCATTTTTGGTCTCTATATCCTTTTTGGTATATATCCTCAGGAGTTACTGTGTTAGGAATGCAGAATAGGTTCTCAAATGGAACCTAAACTTCAGAAAGTTTGCTTCTTTTGGAAAAAACAGGAATCTGTAACCAGGAATCCATCATATTTTTCAGGAATAGTTCCTATCATCTTTATCTTCTAAATTACATTTACATGAAAAGTGTCAAAAAGAATACTATATAAATTGCAAATATTAAAAGTGGAAATCAAATTTAAGAAACAAAACAAAACTTGATGAGATTAAATGAATTCTCTTTGCAGTTCCTTATTCATGAATCTATCAAGCAACATTTCAGAAGGGAGTCAGAATTATCAGCATGGGAAATTATCTTGATTCTGACCTCTTCCCTCAGTCTAAGACATTTTAGCTGCTGCTCTCTTCCTGAAAATACCAGAGGCAGTTCAGACTTGTCCTCAAGACCCTGGGACTTGGCCTACCCCTTCTACTCTTTTGTTAGATTCTCTGCCTGTGGCAGTACAAACAGCAGCTGTTCAGTGCTCCCACATTATCCATTGCAATCTTAGCATTTAAAGTAGATTTTGCAGCAACAGTGAGTCAGGCCCTCCCCATTTCCTCCATTCCTTTAGGCTGAAATTTTAGAGGCTTTATTCTCCAAATGAGACCACCTGCTGAGCTCTTCTCAGTTTCTCACTCCTTGCATAACGACAGTGTGGGCCAAACCAGAGGCCAAGAGATGCTCTGTCTGTTATGAGACCCTTCAGGAGCAATAGAAGCAGGACTCTAGTATGATTGTTCACAACTAGCAGGTCTCGCTCTGCCAAGGAAAGAGCTCAGAGTTTGCATCATTAGTTGGGGAAGGGAAGGTCAGTACTTTTCAGCTCCGAAGGGTCAGCAAACTGGATCATTCTCATCAATCAAGGACTCTTGGTGTGAAAAACTAGAACACTCCCAAGCCCAGTCCATCTCTGAGGGGGAGAGGGTCCTGTTCTAGGCTATTCTATAGTGGATCCTAGAACACAAAACTCAAGTCTAAATGCAGAAGTAATGCAGATTATTTTCTATGCAAGGAAGATCACCTAAACTGTATCAGGGTTACCCATGCAACAGTGACAATGAACAGATAAGTGGACTGGCTAAGCTGACCGTGGATAGAATTTGGAACACTTCCCTGAACTAGGAAGTGTTTGGGTGATATCAAGAGAGGTGTATCTAACTGCATTAAGATTAAACCAAAGGCAAGACTCTTCTAGACTTGGGAAGCGGATCAAAGATCACTGGGAATACACCTGGCTTACAGATATCAAAACCTGCTTCTCTATGCTTTCCTTTCTCTGCTGGCATGAAGTTAGAGTAATTCAGAAGATAATGGAGGGAAAACTTGTTATTTTTTATAACCAAAGACCCATAGTATTTTGACTTAATGGAGATATTCCAGAAGTCTCCACTCCATTATCCCAGGTGGCATAATCTCCTATGACAGAGCCTACTCTTGCATCCCAATCCAGACTACCTAAGCATGACAGTTTGGCTGTTGAGTAACAAGTCTTAAATAAGATGAGGATACTTCTCCAAAGTTAATCTCCCATAGTTATTCTATCCCCTTGACTTATGCAAGGTTTTGGACAGAATTCTTATATTACTTTCAATATAGAAATGTGAGCACTAGGAAACCAGATGGTGCAGCTCTTCTGGATTTCTTACAGAATGACCTACGGATACGCCTGACATCCACTGTGACATACCAGGTCTTTCAGTGTTAAGCAGTGTCGTGAACATAGGTGTATCCAAATCTCTGATAGATCATCCAATGGTATCAAGGTTCTTTAACACAGCATTTCTACACAAACCAACACTGGCACCTATCTTCCTTATCTGGGATATGCTTATAGCGGTAGAAGCTTTCATAAATGATTCATTCATACTGATAGGTTCTAACTCTGGAAAACATAATCTTAATTCATTTTCTTCCATCCTATGCATCAGAACTTGAAAGCTTGCAAATCTCTGTAGTTAAGTGGATTGAGTTTTGTATCACTGAAACATACTTAGCCTTGATTACAAAAGAGAACAGAATCTACTCAACACTTTCCACAGTAGCATTCTGGGTAGAAAGGGCATCAGGTACTTTAAAGGAAATCTGTAAAGCTGTCAGCTGCTCATCAATCAACACTTTTTTTAAAGCACTACAAGCTTTACCTTCATTCTGTTGCAGAAACCTCCTTTTGGCAGGAGGATGTTCCAAACAGTGGTCCCAAAATGGATCAATATTACTGATTTTAGGGAAGGGTGAAAATTCTTCTTTTGTCCTACATATCTGACTATAGGGGGCTTGTATTACACATTTCACTGTAGTTTCTAAATGTTTCCCAGGTGCATTAGATTTGCATGGTAAGGTCTGTAGCGGACTTTGTGGAGCCTTCGGGTTGAGGACAATCATAGAAAGGTAACAATTTTTCCATTTTCTTAAATCATGTATAATAAAGGAAGATGTTTACATATAAAGCTGATTAAAACATTTTCAACTCTATCTAGCCATTTGAGGAATGCAGTTTTTAAGATAGGTGAACGTAGAAGACATTTAAAGCCGCAAAGAAAAGAAAGAAAAAAAGTTCCAGCGCAGACAATCTCTGATGGAGATGTTAAGCTTCTTATCAGAGTATTGAGAGCTTATAACATTCCTTCAAGAAATCCATCAGTTACTAGGTAGGAAACCATAGAAACAGAAGTTAGGGATGGTAAAAACCTATTAGGTAATTTGGTACATCCTCCACGTAGTCCAGGATTGTTCCCTAATTAATCTTTTCTAGAGTTTTGTCTAATTTAGTTTCTACCATTTCCCTTCTAAGAGTATTCACATAGTTTTATAGATCTCACTTAGAAGAAGAAAAAATGTAACTGACCAAAAGTGCAGATTATAGGAGTTTGTTAGTTATTCAACTCCAATGAAATCTGTATTTTATCTGTAAGGAACAGTATGCTGTAGATAGTTCTGTTATGTGTTTAATGCTGCTTATATTGACATGGAATTGTTTCAGCTAACCAGAATGCAGGGCTACTGTATAGTTATTGCTGCATAAATATACAGATTTTCCCCCCAGAAATGCAATTTTCTGCACTATGATCAGGAACATAGGAATTGACATAGCAGGTCAGACCATATGCTTTGGTAGATGATGTAAAACCACCTTAGGATCAGCAATAACTTGCCCAGAAAAGTTCTCCAGGATTGGGTCAGAATACTGTGGCATTTGCATGGCAGTCTCCCAAGTCCTGCTCCCAACCCATGTATAGATGTCCAATCCGGCAGAGGACTTTATGCAAGGAAGAATTCCACAAAGCAGCACTCTTTCCTTTTGCACTCCCAGATGGTGATCTGGTGGAGTGCTCTACCTTCCACTCACAGGATGGAAAGTATGATGAGACTTCTTGTAACTGATTGATTGGTATTTGATATGTTCAGCTCTTTTCTGGATACTGCTTAGCTGGGATTGAACTAACTGTCTGCATCAAAGTATGAGCTATCAGATATAGTACAGAAAGGAAAAAAAGGAAGTCAACTAGGCTGGGACATCGTATGGTATCTGACAGAAAATGTTATTAATTAGAGACTATAATTTGTTAGCCAGTTTTACTTATCAAGTTGCTCATAATGTAACTTTTGACCCATATGCACTCTCTGGTAGTAATAGTTTGTTTAATATTTTGCCTCTAAAATGAAGATCAGTTTGTAAGTCTCATAGAATTTAGTATTTTTTCATGACTGCAACTGAATGACTGCATCAGCTATTTTTTTTACAAGTATAGACTATGTTGTCTTCCCCCACTTAATATTTTCCTTTACTGTTTTATGTAATTACTCATTTAAGTTTTAGAAATATTCTTCTAGTACGACTGGAAAATTAAGTGAAGCTTGCGCTGAAAAGGATAGTATTTGCAAGTTGGAACTAAATTTAAAAACATCATATAAGTTTTATAACACAGCAAACAAAAACAGTTGCTATTTACATTGGATGAGCACAATTTTCTTTCTAGCTACCACAAATATTAATCTAAATAGACATATTTTAACACACCAAGCCTGGTTTAAGAGCTACTGCATCATGAGAAACATTTTCATTAAGGCTAACATACTGCTAGGGCATAAAGTAGGAAATGAAAGTATTTACAGAAAAATGTATTCAAAGTGATACATTACATGTCATTGGTATAGTTTTGACAAACATTCTATCATTTAAAAACTTGTTTAAAATATTAGTACTTTATTATTTGGATAAAGTAGAAGAAGCTCATGACTTTCAGTGCTTGTACTGTAGACTCAATTCATGAAGACATTGACTCTTTATTATACTTTATGGCTGAGCAAAGCAAGGTCTAACATTCCATGTGATGGCATTTCTGTTTGTATCTCTAAGGCATAAAGAAAAGAAATTAGAAGGTGGATGGAATGTGGGGGACACAAAGCCCCGGGCCTGAGGGGAAAAATGGGGGACAATGGTATGGGGGCCATCGGAGCCACACAGGTTGCTGGCATGAGGTGGGGAAGAATGAGGGGGGACACAAAGCCCCTGCCATGGTAAAGAAGGGGAAAATATGGGGAAGGAGAAATGAAGCAGTAGAGAGAAACCCTGGCATTTTGGAGATGGGGAGAATGGGGTCATACAGAACACCTGGCAGGGGGAAGAATGGGGACCCTGAAGGGGAGAATGGTGTGGAGAGGAGAGATGAGGGAGCATGCATAGGGAGAGAACAAGGGGCAAAGGTGGGAGGCGGGAGATGGGATGTTGGGGGCATACAGAGACCCTTGAATGTGGGGAAAATGGGGGCACACAGAATGTCTGGCAGGGGGAAGAATGAGGACCCTGATTTGGGGGGAAGGCAAGAATTGGGTGGAGAGGGGAAAATGAAGGGAGCACACAGCCCCTGGCATGGGGAGAGAATGAGGGACGATGGTTTAGGGCAAGGGGGACAGTGGGGCCACATACAGGCCCTAGAATGTGGCAGAGAGAGGAAGAGGAGGACACACTGAGCCCCTGGCAGAGAAGGAAGGAAGAACAGGGGACCCTTGTATGGGAACATGGGCACACTGAGCCTCTGGCATGTGGGGGAGGAGGGAATTGGGGGGCACAATGAGCCCCTAGCATGTAGCAGTGAGGGGATATGTAGAGACTGGGGCATGAGGGAGGAGAGTGTTGGAGGCAGGTTGCATGGAGTCCTTGAAATAGGGACGGGAAGGTGGCTCACAGGGAACTTGTTGGAACTGTGGGGGAAATGGAGGAATGAAAGGAGGCCCTGGTGTGTGCAATGTGCTCGGCCTACAAAAGTAACAAAGTGTGCAATCCTTTCATTTATTTGGAGTTCAGCTGCATAATGAAAGACTAATTCAGTGTATAAACATGTAGGAACGGTTTGTGAGAGTACAGATGTCTAGCATAATGGTTGCCAAATCCAATCAAATTCTTGTGCAGTTCTGAGCTCTTGTTTATCTGAAACAAAGAAAAAGTAAATGCCTTGAGAGAGTATGCATCTAAGAATGTGTGCCTCACTCCAAACTTGCTATGCAAATAATTAGCATTACAAAACAACAGTCTATAACTTTCATGCAATTGGACATTGTTTGCAATAATGGATAGGCTGATTCCTTCACAGAATGCAAATCATATTTAGCAACAATAATTAACTTAGAGATGGTTTATTCATTATTTCATCCATGGTATATTACAATACCCCAAATGTAAAGAAAAAATTCACTGTGGTTCTGAGATTAGTGTGAAAATAAAACAAAACTACAACATGAAAGAGACTCAGCAATAGTTTAACGCGCCCAAAAATAATTTATGAAAATTTCAGTCAAAGAGAAGTGAGAGTCCATCTAGGAGCTAAAACGTGGAAATTGTGTCCCTGAGAGAGACAGCCTCACCAGCTGCTCATAAATGCAGAATCAAAAGCTGCCAAGTGTTGGGAGGGGACATTCAGATTGGGCCTTTGGGCTGAAGTTTATTTTGTCTAAAAACTGCATGAAGTTTAACATGTTATCAAAGGACTTTATATAGAAATGGAATATCATAGTCTTAGGGATAACTATGTTTCTGTGGAAGCTGAGCTGGCCTGAGAAGCAGACCAACAGGGGTGCCATTTAAGGAGGGTGGAGAGGCACTCTTCCCTCCCCCCGAGTTTCAAACCACATTATAATTTTACCAACAGGCATGGTGCTGGGGGTGCTTGTGGAAACTATAGCCACCCCAAAATTGCCTTTGCTCCCCTGTATCCACCCCTCCCAGAACTGGGTGCCCAGCCCACAGCAGCTGCTCTCTGGCTGCCCAGCTTCCACCACCCTTCCCACACTCCCCCAACAGACACTCTCCCTCTCTCTCACACTCACTCTCTCTCTCATACTTCCCAAAGAAGTCTCCCCGTCTTTGGGATGTTGATCCATGGTTGGTGCGGCATGGGGGGAGCTCACCTGATGCAAGAGGTGGCTATGCCCTAGTGGGTCTCTGCTGGGGTTGGGGGACAGGTAGCCTGTCTATGCTGATGCCTCTGGCTCAGGAGGGGGAGCTGTGGCTGCTGCTGTACTGAACAAGCTCATCTTAGAGACAGGCACAGACATACTCAGGCACACACACAGTCTCTTTCTTTCTCTCACTCACACACATACACACACTCCCCCAAAACACACACACATACACACACTCCCCCAAAACACACACACTTCTCTCTCACCACACACACACACACACACAGAGTCTCCCCCACACACACACACTCTCTGTAACACACAATATTATTATTCTTGTTGTTACTTCTTGCTACTTCCTGTCAAAATGTGCAGTGCACATATATTCTCTGTAATTTTATTCTTTCAGAGTTTAAGGATTATAGTACTGTTATTTTAGTTTTTTTGTCTGGGGTCTGTGCATTTCATAATTTTATTTCTCTCTTATGCTTAAATTTAATTCTTTGAGTAGTGAGTTCTAAAATGCCTAATCTGTCCTGGCTGGAGTAATTATCATTATTACCATATTGTGCTTTGTCAGTATTTATTTAAAGTGGTACAATCAAATAATAGTATCCTTCTAGAATGTAAATTTAGTTTGTACTCACCTTAGCAGTGCCCGTTTAAAATCAATTAGCTAAACACATAACTATAGACACCGTGCAGATGGTCACTTATTTTCAAATTGTATTTTTAATTATATCTGCAAAATAACTTAAAATTTGTACAAAAACAAATGTGGTTCCAAGTCTGATCCTCTAATAGTAATGATAGAGTCAGATGTTAGTGAGTCATGGCCATGATTGTGATTGGTAAACATAAATGCCAAAAGAATTAGAAAAATTAAATCCCGTTCTTAATAAAAGAGAAAAAAATTGCGTATGTTAAAATTAAGTAAATGTGGTTTTAGAATGAAAAACTATAGACTAAAATGGAATAGATAATGACAGTAACAGAGTGTGTCTGTTAGAGAAAGTAAGCAGATTTTATTTATTTTTATTTATCTCTAAAGATAGTGTATCAAACTTGTGTTTCTTGTATCTGTGTTAAGGCTCCAAAACTGATACCGCAAGGCTTGGGATTGTGAATATCTTGCTGTATTTACATATAAATGTAAAATATGGCTTTAATTGGTGTTGTGTATATATATATATTCTTTTTTAAAATAGGAAGTAGATACAGTGCTCCTGTAAGCTAATTTCTAAGTTGTGGTTTGCAAAAAAAAACGTAGAATTTTCAGGTGCCTAAGTCGCCCCTGGAATCATGGTTAAAGTTACCCCTCTGCCCCCAAAAGCTGAAATGGCATTCCTGCAGACCAGGCACACCAGTACCATGGCAGCGCCGGGAGGCATAATGTGTCCAAATTGAAATGACTTCAGTGAGATTTGGACTGGAACAACGGAGTGGCTGCATGATCAGGCCCATAAAGCTTTAGACATTTCTTCATTTTAGGGATTTATGTTTTGATTTGTATTACTGATTTTGTTAGATGTTCTTTATAAGTATGTATAGAATCTGTAAATAGTAACTAATTATCTGTAGCATCTGTAAATAATGAACTAATACAAACAATTGCCATGTAGATTAAAAAGAAAAGCTGGTTGAAATGTGTATGTCATTCATGTTTTATATCTAAAGACCAGCAGGTGTTCATTCACCAGCATATGCAATTAATCAGCTGTCCCGGAGTAGACATCTACTATCAGGCAACTCATCATACACATCTGATCCTCTAAGTGAGGTAAATAACTTAAATTACTCAAACAAACAACCCTCCCGCCCTCCCCAAAAGAGTGAATCATTTTGTATTGTTTAAAAGTAGGGCTGTCGATTAATCGCAGTTAACTCACGTGATTAACTCAAAAAATTAATTGCGATTAAAAAAATTAATCACGATTAATCACACTGTTAAACAATAGAATATCAATTGAAATGTATTAAATATTTTGGATGTTTCTCTACTTTTTCAAATATATTAATTTCTATTGCTACACAGAATACTAACTGTACAGTGCTCCCTTTGTATTATTATTTTTGATTACAAATATTTGCACTGTAAAAATGATAAAAGAAATTGTATTTTTCAATTAACCTCATACAAGTACTGTAGTGCAATCTCTTTATCATGAAAGTGTAACTAACAAATGTAGATTTTTTGTTACATAACTGCACTCAAAACCAAAACAATGTAAAACTTTAGAACCTACAAGTCCACTCAGTCCTACTTCTTGTTCAGCCAATCGCTAAGACAAACAAGTTTGTTTACATTTATGGGAGATACTGCTGCCTGCTTCTTATATACGATGTCACCTGAAAGTCAGAATAGGTGTTTGCATGGGACTTTTGTAGCTGGCATTGCAAGATATCTACGTGCCAGATATGCTAAACATTCGTATGCTCCTTCATGCTTTGGCAACCATTCCAGACAATATGCTTCCATGCTGAAGATGCTCATTAAAAAATAATGCGTTAATTAAATTTGTGACTGAACTCCTTGGGGGAGAATTGTATATCTCCTGTCCTGTTTTACCCACATTCTGCCATATGTTTCATGTTATAGCAGTCTCAGATGATGACCCAGCACGTTTGTTTTAAGAACACTTTCACAGCAGATTTGACAAAACGCAAAGAAGGTACCAATGTGAGATTTCTAAAGATAGCTACAGCACTCAACCCAAGGTTTAAGAATCTGAAGTGCCATCCAAAATCTCAGAGGAACAAGGTGTAGAGCATGCTTTCAGAAGTTTTAAAAGAGCAACACTCAGATGTGGAAACTACAGAACACGAACCACCAAAAAAAGAAAATGAACCTTCTGCTGGTGGCATCTGACTCAGAGGATGAAAATGAACATGCGTCGGTCGGCTCTGCTTTGGATCGTTATCGAGCAGATATCTTGCGCTGCCAGCTACAACAGTGCCATGCGAATGCCTGTTCTCACTTTCAGGTGACATTGTAAACAAGAACCAGACAGCATTATCTTCTGCAAATTGTAACCAAACTTGTTTGTCTGAGCAATTGGCTGAAGTAGGACTGAGTGGACTTGTAGGCTCTAAAGTTTTACATTATTTTATTTTTGAATGCAGTTATTTTTTGTACATAATTCTAAATTTGTAAATTCAACTTTTTACAACTTTGAAAGAGATTGAATTACAGTACTTGTATTAGGTGAACTGAAAAATACTATTTTTTGTTTTTTTACAGTGCAAATATTTGTAATCACAAATAAATATAAAGTGAGCACTGTACACTTTGTATTCTGTGTTGTAATTGAAATCAATATATTTGAAAATATAGAAAACATCCAAAAATATTTAAAGAAATGGTATTCTATTATTCTTTAACAGTGCTATTAATCTCAATTAATTTTTTTAATCATTTGACAGCCCTATTTAAAAGGAATGACAAAGGCTTCAAACAATATTTTGACAATGGATAAGAGGGCAAAGTTTTACTTTCTTTATTGTAACCGTATCTGCTGTGTCAATACTTATTTAAATGGTCCCTCACCAATATATTGATTTGGGACAAAATTCCCCCTGACATTTAAGAATTTGTTCTTATTCATTAAAAAGATCTCCAATCCTTTGTTCTGTTACAGCATGTTTTTGCTTCAGCACCTCTGGTATTTTGAGGGATTTCAGTTTCATTATTATAGTTAAATATGTATTTTTATGGTAACTTCTCAAAATGCATATTTTCTGATTTTGGACAGCAGTGGTTTCCAACCTTTTCAGCCTGAGAACTGAATATTATTTCAAAAAGGTCAAGGGCCACAATCAACATTTTTGGGCTCTCTGTTCTGTTCCGCTCAGTCTAAAGGGAGCCAGAACCACTTGCAGGTCCCATGCTGGGGATTTCCCCAACATGGGGTTAGTCCAGGGATCGGCAACCCTCGGCCCATGCGGCTTCCCGCAACCCCTATTGGCCTGGAACAGCGAACCGCAGCCAGTGGGAGCCCTATTTAAAAGGAATGACAAAGGCTTCAAACAATATTTTGACAATGGATAAGAGGGCAAAGTTTTACTTTCTTTATTGTAACCGTATCTGCTGTGTCAATACTTATTTAAATGGTCCCTCACCAATATATTGATTTGGGACAAAATTCCCCCCTGACATTTAAGAATTTGTTCTTATTCATTAAAAAGATCTCCAATCCTTTGTTCTGTTACAGCATGTTTTTGCTTCAGCACCTCTGGTATTTTGAGGGATTTCAGTTTCATTATTATAGTTAAATATGTATTTTTATGGTAACTTCTCAAAATGCATATTTTCTGATTTTGGACTGCGATCGGCCGAACCTGCAGGTAAACAAACCGTCCCAGCCCACCAATGGATTTCCCTGATGGGCCATGAGCCAAAGGTTGCCGATCCCTGGGTTAGTCCCAGTGGGCATAGAGAAACCATAGATGGCTTTTTTGTCTCCTTTCCCACATCCCCTGTCACAGGAGCATTTCAAAGTTAGGAAGGGGTATGCTGGGGTTGGGAGGAATCATAGAATCATAGATTATTAGGGTTGGAAGGGACCTCAGGAGATCATCTAGTCCAACCCCCTGCTCAAAGCAGGATCAGTCCCCAACTAAATCCCCAAATGGCCCCCTCAAGGATTGAACTCACAACCCTGGGTTTAGTAGGCCAATGCTCAAACCACTGAGCTATCCCTCCCCTCTGATCTGAAGAGTGATCAGAGTGCACTTTGGTCTGGTTATTGCTTGGGAGGGCCTGTGGGTACCATAATTACCTGACCTGCTCTAATCAATGCTGAGACAAAGCAAAGAATTAGAGTGTGATAACTGGTTGCTGGTTCTCAAATTCTTTCTTTCCTTTTTTTCTGGGCTGCCCTTGACGGCTGTGTATGGGAAGGAGAGCCATCCTTTACTAAGTGCTCCCCTAGTCTCAGGCAGTGCCAGTTGAATTCCTATCCTGTCCTCCCTGGGGCTCCGATAGTCCAGTAGGAAAGTAGGCAAATGGCATAGCCAGAATTACTCTCTTTCTTCCTCCTGTGATGCAGCAGGTGGCCACCAGGGGAACTGTTACGCAATTGCCCCAGGGAAGGGATAGCGCTCCAAGTGCCCCCTACTGTCTCCCTATTGTAATGGGGTCAATTCAAACACTGCAGTTTAAAAATTTTAAGACACAGCTCAGAGAACACATTTCCTATTAAGAATGAAATATATGTTTTCTTCTTAACACTCACCATTCAGGGCCACAGTCTAGAGCCTCCAGGGCCACAGGCTGGACTCCACTGATGTATAATGATGACTCTACATTTAAATTGATATTAATAAAAAACTAATTTTCAGAAATCTTAGAAGACAATGAAAATTAAACTGTATTTGGGAGACTTTCAGTCTTGTAGAACCTAATAACCTGTAAGTGTTAATATATCATAAGAGTTGGAATCATATCTTAATATAAATTCTAGAGATAAGGATCATCTTTAATGAGGGTATCGTTATATGTACTGAGCAACTGTTATCTAAATATAAATAGCGCTTGACCGGATGTATCATTTATCAGTCACAAATGTACTGAGTAAATAGGCTGGTTAATTTCCATGTGTTATTCACCAGGGAGCTGGACTTTAATGAATAAAATTTTCTTAGTTGCTACTTGCTTGCAGGTAGGGCAGGGGCGGGGAAACTTTTTGGCCAGAGGGCCGCATCAGGTTTCGGAAATGGTATGGCGGGCCGGTTAGGGGAGGCTGTGCCTACCCAAACAGCCAGGCGTGGCCCGGCCTCTGCCCCCTATCCCCGCCCCTCGCTGGCTCCGCTCTGGGACTCCTGCCCCATCCACCCCCACCCCACCGCTCCCTGTCCCCTGACCGCCCCCGGAACCACCACCCCTGAATGCCCCCTGCCTCCCCATCCAACACCCCCTCCTTCCCGACTGCCCCTGGGGCCCCTGCACCCATTCAACCCCCTGTTCCTTGCCCTCTAACCGCCCTGATCCCTATCCACACCCCCGACCCCTGACCACCATCCTGAACTCCCCTGAACTTACCGAGCTGCCTGGAGCACCGGTGGCTGGTGGCGCTACAGCCGCGCCGCCCGGCTGGAGCCAGCCACTCCACAGCGCACAAATTAAATATGAGCCAACAATGTGATGGAATTGTGAAAAAGGCTAATATTGCTCTGGGCTGTATTAACAGAAGCATTGTATGTAAGACACGGGAGGTAATTGTCTGTCTACTTGGCCCTGGTGAGCCCTCAACTGGAGTACTGTGTCCAGTTCTGGGTGCCACACTTTATGAAAGATTGCATGAATTGGAGAGAGTCTAGAGAGCAACAAAAATGATCAAATTCTCCTGGGGGAATTCTGCATCAAAATATTAAAAATTCTACAAAATTCTGCACATTTTATTTATCAAAATAACACTATATAATCACACCAGTTTCAATTATTTTGGTAATTTATTTCAAAATACCTGTCAGCAAGTTTGTTTGTAACAATACAGACACACAACAAATTCCCCCAGGAGTAGAGAGTTAAAGAAATCCTTATGACAACCCAGTTCCTGCTTCTCTGTTGTCCCCCCCCCCCAAACCCAGCCATGCCCACCCCCTGCCCAGACACTCACTCCCCCCTCCCCTCCCCAAGCCCAGCTTCAGGACCGCCCCCCCACCTGGCCCAGACACTCTCAAACCCTACTCTCCTAGAGCCCAGGGATCCAGAGGGAGAAACAGCCTGATGCTGGGTCGCGGGCTTACCGGAGTTTCCTCCATGCCGCTGCCTCCTTCCTTCAGGGTGTGCAGGGAACTGCACCTTCTGGGAACCCTCCAGTTTGCTTCTCCTTCCCACAGCCTTGTCTTCCATTTGTGAGCTGGGCTCTGCTGGGTCCAGCGGTCCCTAGTGGGAGCCAACATTTCTACAGCCCATTTATGTAGGGAAAAAAGGAAATTCTGTGTGCACAACATTAATTTCTGCAAAATTCTGAATTGCGCAGTGGCACAGAATTCCCCCAGGAGTATAAAAGGTGTAGAAAACCTGACCTTTAACAAAACTGGGCATGCTTAGTCTTGAGAAAAGAAAACTCAGGGGGGATCTGGTAACAGTCTGCAAATATGTTCAGAGCTGTTACAAAGAGGGGATGGTGATTAATTGTTCTTCATGTCCACTGAAGGTAGGACAAGAAGTAATCGTCTTAATCTGCAGCAAGGAGGATTTAGGTTAGATATTAGGGAAAACTTTATAAGGGTAGTTAAGTTCTAGAATAGGTTGCCAAGGGAGGTTGTGGAATCCCTGTCATTGGAGGTTTTTAAGAACAGGCTAGACAAACATCTGTCAGGGATAGTCTAGGAGTTTACTTGGTCCTGCCTCAGCACGGGGGGCTGGACTTGATGACCTCTTGAGGTCCCTACATTTTTATTATTCTATAAGATGATGTGGAAATAAAACAAAGCAGTACAAATCTAATAAAGTGTATGATTTTTGTGTTTTAGGTGACTGTTCATCCTTTTGTAGAAGTTTCTTTCCAGCACACAGTTTATCAAACTAGCACTGCAGATGGATCTCATCCATGCTGGAATGAAGAACTTCAAGTGGATTTTATGTAAGTTGGCCAAATACTTCTCCATGAAAAATGTACACGAAAATAAAAGTATTTGAATGCTCTAGTGAAGGAGTCAAAGTTTCCCATGGTTAGGTGGTTATATTTTGTTTCAAAAGTATTTTAAAGTTTTTCATTTAGCCTGCTGAACTCATCTGCCTTTCTGTATCTGTGTATAAGAGTTGGAGATGAAGTAGAAGGATTGAATGATTTAGGGCAATGGTTTTCAACCTTATTTCATTTGTGGCCCCTTAAAAAATGTAGAATGGAGGTGCGGATCCCTTTGGAAATCTTAGAAATAGTCTGCAGACCTCCAGGGGTACCCAGTCCACAGATTGAAAACTACTGGTTTAGGGTAATGGTTCTCAATCTTTTCCATACCATGATCCTGTATTTCAACAGAAAAAAGTTTCAGGACTTCCCTTCCATGTAGTCATAAAGAAAAGGAGGTTGGCTGCAACCCTCTTGCACACATATTCATGACCCTGAGGCTAAGAACTGATGGTTTAAGACATTAGGAATGGGATACATTGTTTTTTTCATCTCTGGGCCATGTTTTTAAACCAGCCAAGTCAGTAGTGACTAAAAGTTATAACTATCCAGTGGCCACTTGTAGTCCGTTCATTCATTGGCATCTTCACTGACTATAACGGACTACAAAAATGCACAAACCAAGTAAAAGAAGTAACGAAGAAGATAGGTTTGAGATACAATGCAAAGAAATGTCAGGCTGGCGGGAGGTTACTAGTGGAGTTCCTCAGGGATCAGTTTTGGGACCAATCTTATTTAAGCTTTTTATTACTGACCTTGGCACAAACAGTGGGAATGTGCTAATAAAGTTTGCGGATGACACAAAGCTGGAAGGTATTGCCAATACAGAGAAGGACCGGGATATCATACAGGAAGATCTGGATGACCTTGTAAACTGGAGTAATAGTAATAGGATGAAATTTAATAGTGAAAAGTGCAAGGTCATGCATTTAGGGATTAATAACAAGAATTTTTGTTATAAGCTGGGGACTCATCAGTTAGAAGTAACATAGGAGGAGAAGGACCTCGGAGTATTGGTTGACCACAGGATGACTATGAGCCACCGATGTGATATGGCCGTGAAAAAAGCGAATGCGGTCTTGGGATGCATTAGCAAGGTATTTCCAGTAGAGATAAGGAGGTGTTAGTACCGTTATACAAGGCACTGGTGAGACCTCATCTGGAATACTGTGTGCAGTTATGGTTTCCCATGTTTAAGAAGGATGAATTCAAACTGGAACAGGTAAAGAGAAGGGCTACTAAGATGATCCGATGAATGGAAAACCTGTCTTATGAAAGGAGACTCAAAGAGCTCGGCTTGTTTAGCCTAACCAAAAGAAGGCTGAGGGGAGATATGATTGCTCTATATAAATATATCAGAGGGAGGGAGAGGAATGATTTGAGCTCAGTACCAATGTGGACACAAGAACAAATGGATATAAACTGGCCATCAGGAAGTTTAGACTTGAAATTAGACGAAGGTTTCTAACCATCAGAGGAGTGAAGTTCTAGAACAGCCTTCCAAGGGGAGCAGTGGAGGCAAAAGACATATCTGGTTTCAAGACTAAGCTTGATAAGTTTATGGAAGGGATGGTATGATGGGATAGCCTAATTTTGGCAATTAATTGGTCTTTGACTATTAGTGGTAAATATGCCCAATGGCCTGTGATGGGAAGTTAGATGGGGTGGGATCTGAGTTACTACAGAGAATTCTTTCCTGGGTGTCTGGCTGGTGAGTCTTGCCCACATGCTCAGGGTTTAGCTGATTGCCATATTTGGGGCTGGGAAGGAATTTTCCTCCAGGGCAGATTGGCAGAGGCCCTGGGGGGTTTTCGCCTTCTTCTGCGGTGTGGGGCACGGGTCACTTGCTGGACGATTCTCTGCACCTTGAAGTCTTTAAACCATGATTTGAGGACTTTAATGGCTCAAACATAGGTTAGGGGTTTGTTGCGGGAGTGGGTGGGTGAGATTCTGCGGCCTGTGTTATGCAGGAGGTCAGACTAGACGATCATAATGGTCCCTTCTGACCTTAAAGTCTATGACTGTATGACTCTACGGCTAAATGTAAAGTCATGTTAATGGGGACTATAGGGACAGAAATCAAAATTGAAGAAGAAAAACTGGAGAAGGTGGACAATTTTAAGTATCTTGGAAGTACCACCAGCCAAGATGTTACTAGTTCCGAGGAAATAAGAAGAAGAATCGGGAAGGCAAATGCTGCATTTGGAAGACTCAAAAACATCTGGCAACTCAAAAACATCTCCCTCAAAACAAAACTGAATGTGTAACAAGCAATTGTTATTGCTATCACAACATATAGTGAGACATGGCAACTTACCAAGAAAGATGGATGCATTTCATCACAAAAGTCTGAGACGAATATTGGGAATAACATATAGAGATAGGAAGACAAATGAAGAAGTCAGAAAAATTACTGGACGAGGTACCCTCTCACAAATAATCTACAAAAGAAGACATCAGTGGCTGGGACATGTGCTGAGAATGGAAAAAGAATGCTTACCAAATACCGCCCTTGAATGGAAGCCAGAAAACACAAGAAGAAAGAGAGGAAGACTGCGAATAACATGGAAACGAACAGTTCTGAACGACATCAATCACCTCAACTTGAAATGGGAAGATTTGGAGAGAAGGGCAGTTAACAGACAAGGATAGCAAATGTGGGTAGCCCAATGTGCAGCAAAGCGCGGGATGGACTAAGGTCTAAGTGGCCACTTAGTCTGTTTGAATTGAGTTGGAATAATAGCTCTCAAACCTCCCGTTTTCCTCCCAATTTAGGGCATATGTCGGAGGTAGGGTACGGGATGGAGTGGACCCAATATGAGGAATGTGGCTGGTATGATGTAGTTGCTCTGTTTTGTGCCAGTGTAACAACCATAAAGACTGTTATAAACTGGCACCATTTTTAGAGCAACCCGGGAGCTCCAGAACCAGAATTAGGGAGGTGTGCAAAGGCAGTTTAAAACCACCTGTTTCCCACTTGGAAGAATGGAGAATCTGCCTTTGTTCCTTTATGTGAGCTTTCATTCAGTTGGTGCTCTGAAATATGTGAAAGAGTAGAAAATTTACAAAACATAGTTTAGTAAATATGAGATAGAAGTCAGTGGAAATACATCAGTTTACCCCAAAATGAGGATCTGGCACAATTTATGTGACTAAACACCTATTGACACAGTAATTAGAGAAACAAAATATATTGGGTCAAATTCATCCTGGTGAGTAATTCCTTCAAAGTCAGTGGAGTTAAACTGGAATGAAATTTGTCCTTTGTTTTTTAATGGCAAACATACCAATTTAGTTTTCCTTCTTTAAAAATGTTTATGGTTTTGTAATATTTGAAGTAAATTACTGCCAAAAGTGATTGTGTTGTTTTTTTAAAAAATGATAAAGCTCTCTGATATACAGTATCTGATTAAAACTAAAAGATTCTGTTCTTAATTACAGATCACCAGGACATGATTATAGCTTTTCAGGACTGTCTAAAATAAAAGACAATATATATGTCAACATTTTTGATGAAGTTAGGGTGGAAAAACATGAGGTAAATTGTATAAAACACAATAACTGATTTTTTTATTACATTTTTTTGAAGTTTGAAAACTATAACCATGTACATATCTCAACTTCTTCTTTTCTTAACGAAAGAAGCTATATGTACTATTGTTTTCTAATTTTGAATAAATTCAGTTTTTACTTTAATTAAAAGAATACTAGAAATGTCACAGCCAACCACTGTTGCCATTTGGGCCAAATCCTGTGAGGCATTGTAGCGGGGTGGTTACCCGCGCCAGCCCTGACAGGGTTAAGGCCAGCCCTGGGAGAGGGCTGGGGCTGTAAGGAAAAGCCCAGGCTGCTTAGGAAAGCAGGCACAGCTGGGGCCACACCCCAAACAGAGCACAGCAGGTCCTTATAAAAGGCTGCTAGCTTGGAGCTAGAGTAGCTCTCTCCGGTCTTGGAGGGAGCAGGGCCTGGCTGTCCGTAGCAAAGGAACTGGGAGTGAAGCAGGGCTGGGGAAAGGCCAGAGGAGCAGGGGAGCTCCAGCCTGGTGACTCCCCAGGCTGCATGGCCTGGTCCTACGCCCACCCCTGAGGTACTGTGTGGTAGAGGAAGACAGCAGGTCCTACCCCCTTGCCTGTGATGACTGGCTCTTACACTGCAGTCTGTTCCAAGGAGCGGGGGCTCATTGCTGACTGGCAGTAGCCACCAGCTGAGGTGGTTTTTGAGCAGTTAGCAATAATTTTTTATCACAGTGAAATTCTTTAAGCCATTTCCTGTAACGTGACCCAGTTCAGTGCTCCAGATGTTATCATAGACAGTTTTGTCATCGGGAATGGAATTGCTAACAAGAAAATGTTTAACTGTCAGATGTACTGTATATAAGAACAAATAGGCACACTGCTAGCTTTCTGATTACTTCCTTGTTAGCTCATCTACAGGCCCCATTCCTCTAAGTAGTTGTGCTAGTGTAGCCCCCTGTATCAGCATGTATACCGCTGACTTTGGTGGCACAGAGGCAGTGCAATATTTGCTTGCATGCTAGAGTCTCAGTGAGCTATAGATTTGTAAAACTGTAATAATTTAAGAAAATTATACCCACTTCTTCTGTGACACGTACAAGAAACTAGCTGACTGAGGGTATGTCTACACTACGAGAGTAGTTCGATTTTACTTAAAGCGAATTTGTGGAACCGATATTACAAAGTCGAACGTGTGTATCCACACTAAGGACAGTAATTCGACTTTGTGAGTCCACACTAACGGGGCAAGCGTCGACATTGGAAGCGGTGCATTGTGGGCTGCTATCCCACAGTTCCCGCAGTCCCCGCTGCCCACTGGAATTCTGGGTCGAGCCCCCAATGCCTGCTGGGGCAAAAAATGTGTCGAGGGTGGTTTTGGGTAACTGTCGTCATTCAGCCGTCACTCCCGCCCTCCCTCCATGAAAGCGCCGGCGGGCAATCAGTTCGCGCACTTTTCTGGTGATTGACAGCGCGGACGCCACAGCACTGCGAGCATGGAGCCCGCTGTGATCATCGCTGCAGTTATGGCCGTTGTCAACACCTCGCACCTTATCATCCACCTTTTTCAGAGGCAGATGCTGAGAAATCGGGCGAGGAGGCTACGGCAGCGCGGTGAGGACATTAAGTCTGAGAGGGGCACAGACCTCTCACAAAGCACGGGACCCCGCACCGTGGACATCATGGTGGCAATGGGTCATGTTGATGCTGTGGAACGGCGATTCTGGGCCCGGGAAACAAGCACGGACTGGTGGGACCACATAGTGCTGCAGGTCTGGGATGAATCACAGTGGCGGCGAAACTTTCGGATGCGTAAGGGAACTTTCCTGGAACTTTGTGACTTGCTGTCCCCTGCCCTGAAGTGCAAGGACACCCGGATGCGAGCAGCCCTGACTGTCCAGAAGCGAGTGGCCATAGCCCTCTGGAAGCTTGCAACGCCAGACAGCTACCAGTCAGTCGCGAATCACTTTGGAGTGGGCAAATCTACTGTGGGGGTTGCTGTGATGCAAGTAGCCAATGCAATCGTTGAGCTACTGCTCTCAAAGGTAGTGACCCTGGGAAACGTGCAGGTGATCATAGATGGCTTCGCTGCGATGGGATTCCCAAACTGCGGTGGGGCTATAGATGGAACTCACATCCCTATCCTGGGACCGGCCCACCAGGCCAGCGAGTACATTAACCGAAAGGGCTACTTTTCAATGGTGCTGCAAGCACTGGTGGACCATAGGGGACGTTTTACCAACATCAACGTCGGATGGCCGGGCAAGGTTCATGATGCTCGCGTTTTCAGGAACTCTGGTCTGTTTAGACGGCTGCAGGAAGGTATTTACTTCCCGGACCACAAAATAACTGTTGGAGATGCCTATAGTCATCCTCGGGGACCCAGCCTACCCGCTAATGCCCTGGCTCATGAAGCCCTATACAGGCGCCCTGGACAGTGAAAAAGAACTCTTCAACTACCGGCTGAGCAAGTGCAGAATGGTGGTGGAGTGTGCTTTTGGACGTCTGAAGGGGAGATGGAGAAGCTTACTGACTCGCTCTGATCTCAGCGAAACCAATATCCCCATTGTTATTGCAGCTTGCTGTGTGCTCCACAATCTCTGTGAGACCAAAGGGGAGACGTTTATGGCGGGGTGGGAGGTTGAGGCAAATTGCCTGGCTGCTGATTACGCCCAGCCAGACAGCCGGGCGATTAGAAGAGCCCAGCGGGACACGCTGTGCATCCGGGAAGCTTTGAAAACTAGGTTCCAGAGTGAACAGGGTAACCTGTGACTTTTAAGTTTGTTTCAACAGAAGCTGAACCTGCCCCCGTTTCTTTACCCAGTTAATGTTGACTATCCTCTCCAGTTACCAACCTCCTTCTCCCCCTTCCAACACACCTTTAAAAATAAAATAAATGAAACTTTGTTCATTAACACCGTTTTCTTTATTAAGGATTTCGTGGTAAAGTGTTGAAACTGGGACACAGACTGTGGTGGGGAGCGGGTGTAGTGATGGAAAGGACGCTTCTAAACTCGAGGAATGGCAGGCTCCTGCTCCTAGAGCGGTCCGCAGTGGTGGACTGGTTGTTTCAACGGAGCCTGCCACCCCTCCTTTTCGGGACTCTGTGTGTGGGGGCTATGTGACTTTGTGGCAGGGGAGGGCAGTTACAGATCCCCTGCTGCGTGGCTCTGTCATCCAGGCTAAGGACCGCTGCATAAGATCTGTAACCGCCCTCCCCCGCCACAAACTCACATAGCCCCCCCACACAGAACATGAAAACCACCTTCCAGACTGACCAGGGTGCCTAGTGACTGCAATGTGTGTGTGACCTTCTGCTGAACCTGCCCCCGTGTCTGTACCCTGGTAAAGGTGACTGTCCTCTCCAATTACCAACCCCCTTCCCCCCTCTTCAAACACACTCTCCTCTAAAAGAACATGACGGAAACAGTAATTAACAGAAACGTATTTTTTATTAACAACTACACAGTTAGGGGATGAAACTGGGACAGGGGCTTGGGTGAGGTGCTTTTGGAGTGAAGGAAAGGACTTATCAAATCTTTGGGAATGAGAGCCTTCTGTTACTTGAGCAGTCTGCAGGGGTGGAGTGACTGTTTTCACGGCCCCTGCCGCCCCTCCTTCTTGGGACTTTGGGTGAGGGGGGGATGGGACTTTGTGGCAGGGGAGGGCGGTTAGAGATAGAATGCAGCGGGGCTCTGTCCTCCTGCCTCCGGTCCTGCAGAACATCTACAAGGTGCTGGAGCGTGTCCATTTGCTCCCTCATTAGTCCAAGCAGCGTTTGAGTCGCCTGCTGGTCTTCCTGCCGCCACCTGTCCTCCTGTTCGCTGTGTGATCGCTGGTATTGCGACATGTTCTCCCTCCACTGGGTCTGCTGTGCCGCCTCGGCTCAGGAGCAGCCCATAAATTCTGAGAACATCTCGTCCCGCGTCCTTCTCTTTCGTTGCCTGATCTGCGCCAGCCTCTGGGAGGGGGATGCCGGGGTAGCTCGGGAGACACTCGGGCAGCTGTGGGATGGGAAAAAGGGAGTGAATTCCTCAGAAAGATACAGTTTTGTGAACAATGAATATAGTCTTTCTCTGTGAACAAGACCATGCACAGCACCTATCACATGCGCACTCAGTACAAGGTCGAATTTTCGGCCTTCCCATTGAGTGCCTGGGGTCTTGCTGTACAGATCACATAAGCGGGGCCGGACAACGGAATTCGGCTAGCAGGCGGACATGGTAAGCCGTAGACTTTTGGCTGCTTAAAGCTTAATTTATAGCAGTGCCCTCCTTTCACGTTCCAAGCAATGCTCCTAGCGTTGGCCAGTTCCTGCTGCCGGCAATCTGGCCAGCATGAACTCTGCCCCTGTCCCACCCCCCTCGTGGCTGTCCCCAGGAAAGATCCCTGCATGCTGCCCCTGTCCCGCCTCCACCGCGTGGCTGTAAACAGCCGGTTACAGTTATGTAAAGGAACAGGCAATCAGTCCCAATACTAACATTCCCCTAATTCAAAGCAGGTCACCATGAGTGATATCACTCTGATGAGGATTTCGGAGACAGAGAAAGACCGCATGCTGCGTGAATGCCAGCAAGCACCAGGGCCGTATGCCGCCATGCTTTGCGAGGCAATGATCCCGGAGTCCTTGCTGCTAGCCTGGCGCAGAAAAGTTTCCTACCATGGAGGACGCAATAAGGCCGCTCTCCCCAGGAACCTAATGCAAAGGCTTTCACAATACCTCTCTTCGTGGAGATGTCCCAGGAGGATTTCTGCTCTATCCCCGGACATATTGACAGAATTTTCCAGTAGCTGCACTGGCAAGGACTAGAAACTAAAGCGCCTAGGGCAAACTAATCATGAGAAACCCATTGTTAAGATACCATTCCTATTCTGTTCAAAATAAATGTTTAAAACACTTACCTACTGATGTTTCCCCTGATTCACGGTCTGGGTTACCGCCTTGGGAGGGTTGGTAGGGGATCTACGTGAGGGTGATGAAGAGATCCTGGCTGTCGGGGAAATCAGCGTTGAAAGCGCTGTCGACTGCCTTGTCCTCCTCATCTCCTTCCTCATCTTCCCCGTCCGCGAACATCTCTGAGGAAGCGGCCGTCGACAATACCCCATCGTCAGAGTCCACAGACAGTGGTGGGGTAGTGGTGGCGGCCGCACCTAGAATGGAATGCAGTGCCTCGTAGAAACGGCATGTCTGGGGCTGGGATCCGGAGCGTACGTTTGACTCTTTGGTCTTCTGGTACCCTTGTCTCAGCTCCTTGATTTTCACGCGGCACTGCGTTGCATCCCGGCTGTATCCTCTCTCCGTCATGACTTTTGAGATCTTCTCGTAGATCTTCGCATTCCGTTTTTTCGATCGCAGCTCCGAAAGCACGGACTCATCGCCCAACACAGCGATCAGATCCAAGACTTCCCGATCAGTCCATGCTGGGGCCCTCTTTCTATTCTGCGATTGCATGGTCACCTCTGCTGGAGAGCTCTGCATCGTTGCCAGTGCTGCTGAGCTCGCCACGATGTCCAAACAGGAAATGAGATTCAAACTGGCCAGACAGGAAAAGGAATTCAAATTTTCCCCGGGGCTTTTCCTGTGTGGCTGGTCAGAGCATCCGAGCTCGGACTGCTGTACAGAGCGTCAACAGAGTGGTGCACTGTGGGATACCTCCCGGAGCTATTAGCGTCGAATTCCATCCACACCTGCCCTAATTCGACATGGCCATGTCGAATTTTGCGCTACTCCCCTCGTCGGGGAGGAGTACAGAAATCGATTTAAAGAGACCTCTATGTCGAAATAAATAGCTTCGTTGTGTGGACGGGTGCAGGGTTAATTCGAGTTAACGCTGCTAAATTCGACATAACCTCCTAGCGTAGACCAGGCCTAAGTCATTTACTTATCTATTTAATATATTTATCTTCTGAATTAACTGCTGGAGGGAGAGCATTGAATGCTGGGAGGAAGAGGCATAAAGACATTGGAAATGAAGCAGAGAATTAGCATCCCGCAAGCTGAGCATCATTTTCATCTCTCTCCTTTCCCTTCACCCTATTTCCAGGCTGTGTCAAAATCCTATCACTTCTTCCTTCATAACATTTCTAAGATCTGATCTTTTCTTTCTGTCTTGCTCAGCTGAAACTCTTGTCAAAGTCCTCATCATTTTCAGTCTTGATGACAGCAACCACCTCCTCCACCCCTGCATCACTATTCCCCAGTCTATTCAAACGGCAACTAACAATGGGGAATCCTTACATGGTGTAGTGCCAATATAGGCAGCTGCACACTGCCTGTTCCCCTGCTTTCTGGATGGGGTCGGGGAAGAAATACTCCAGCATGGAAAGGGGTGGAGTTGGGCAGACCACAAAGCATTCTTTCTGATCCACATCTGGTACAGTAGTCTCAGCAGTCCTTAGGGTGCTCTAAGTTATGTCAGTGACCATTTTGGTGCAGCATTGGGGAAATAGAGCTTTCTTCCCTGCTTTCCTTAGCTGTGCTGACTGTAAACTGGGCATAGTTGTGGATTGAGCCCATGAGTCTTCTAGCTTCACAGATAATGGGAAAGTTTAAAAAAAACCCTGGATTTTATTGTGAAAGCATTGCACTTTGAGAAAATTATGGATTTATTTGTTGATCAGATTCAGTTTTTTATGAGCAGCTTATTGGTTCTATGAACACCTTGTTGAGTCTATTCAGCTTGGTATTGATTGCCTTTTGTTGCCACAGCCACAATTGAAAACATATATAGAGACAGATATAGATGTGTGTGTATATATGCTAGTAAATTTCCAAAGGTTATGGAATCAGTGTCAGCTAAGAGACAGACAGACACACACACACACTTAACTACAGCTAACTCTATGTATTTCAATAGGATACTTGTCTTAAGGGTTGCAGTGGCCACTCGTATATAAGAAAGAACTGGTTTGGATCAGTTACTTTTCCTTTCTCTGCTCTTCTGGAACAATCAAAGGTAATTATAATAAAAACATTTTAAAAACTTCTGTTGTATCAGCACAAACCCTTAAGAGTTTTTCTTTTAGTGAAAGCAAGATTTTAAAATGTTTACATTGTCGATAGCAGTGATCTGCATACATTAGAAAGAATAAATTTTTTATCATTATGTAACTCCTGTGGACTTTACTATTTGTTTGTGAACACAACTAATCTTTCCCTGCATAGTCAAGGGAGATCAAAAATACAATTTAATTTGCAATAGCAATTCCAAGACACAAACTTCTTCCAAAATATTTTAATGAGAGCGCTGGTTTTGACTCCATTTGCCACAGCAGTGAAAGCCTATCTGTTCAGAAACTGCTTTTCCATGGAGTGAGGGGAAGTAAAAGGCTGAGGGGAAACTGCACTGAAATTTGCAATAGCCAAATAGAAAGTTCCAAGGAGAATGGAGGATTCAGCTAGAGCACTCGGCTAATCTTAGTCAAGGTGTAGCCTCTTTTGCTGACCCAAGGAAAATAAGGCCTTGTTATTGCTTGAGAGGACTATGGGAAAATGCCATAGTAGTGACCTAGACAGGAGAGACAGAGTGACTACCTGATCCTACCTATTTTAGAAGCACCTGAGTTCCTACCCACCAGCCAGGAAAGATATAAACTGTGAATAGATCTGGGAAGCCCGCTGCTATGGTTTAGAGTACACCACACAATCTCGCTCTGATCCAGAGACTCAGTAATGTTGGGATTCCCTCAGAGACCTTTCCACTCAGCTTATCCAGAACACCTCATCCATTTCTGGGAGAACATTTCATCTAGTTCTCTGGGATCCAAAAACTTAAACGCCAGCTTGTCACTCAGTTTACTTTAATAGGCAGGTAGCAGCTCTTTGATGATGCCCAGATGCAGGGGGTTTAGATACAGGGTGATACCACAATTCCAATTCATGTCATGCACCACACAGTTTATAGACATCTTTCCTAGCTACTAACATCTGTACTTCTTGCATGTAAAGGCCAATTGCTTTGCAGATAGCATAAGGCAAGCTTATCAGTTCAGGTTGTTTCTACTTACTTTGTTTACTATAAACATACCCACAATAGTTAGTCTAGTTAGTTTGGCTCCCTTTTTTATTCACAATAGTTGTTTTAGAATTACTTGTTGGGACTTGTTCAGCAGTTACTTGTTCAGGCATGTCATGTCTTAACTTGGGCCTACTCAGGTCAGCTAAGTCAGTCCTACAATTGGCTCCTAGGAGATCTTCATCCTTTTGCTGTTTTGTTTACCCTTCCTCCTACTCCATCACTGGTGTGCCTTACCTGTTGAAACAGGTCCCACTGCCTATGAGCAGCCCAACATTTTGTAGGCTTAAGACTGAGTTTTTTGTAATTAACTAGTCAGTAGTCCTAACTAATATATATCATGTATTGAAAGTTGGTTTTGCATAGGGTTTTGTGGGGGAAGATTGGGCTAAGGTGTGCTATATTATAATTGTATTTGCAATAAAGTTGTTTAACCAGCCATTTTTACAATCTTCTGTTATTTAAACTATTTAAAATGAACTGCACAACTTCTGTATGATTTTTTTCACCCACGCTTTATGTTCTCCTAGCTCCTTAGATTTTAAGCATTGCTGCTATTAGGTTAAGTGTGTTGTTCTAAATTTCCCTGTATATTTTCCTGGGACTGAAGTCTTCACTCATGGTGTAAGACTTTCCCCAGATAGAGGCACCATGTGTTCTTTAACTTGATACAGGGTATGACTTCCTTTAGAACCCTCCAAAAGGTTCTCCCGTTTAAAATTTGAGGATTGTTGCCCTTACCCAGAATCTAGTGAGTGGAATCTCTGTGAAAAAAGCATAAAAATTACATTTATTTCCTTTTATTGCACATGATATAATTTGGATCATTATGACCTTTATATTTTGTTATAACATCTCTTGCACTGTAGTTTGTTTGTTTTACCTAATATAATAATCTAAATATGTTCATAGATCTGTGGTACATTTCAAGTAAATACGCCACCAGTTTTGCTTGGCTACACTTGGAGCAAGCCCTGTGCATCTCATAAAGACGAGCATTGTGGACAGAATTTAAAAGAATATACCTTTTTAACCATCTTTGCTACGATTGAACCTCAGCTATCTTCTGTTGAAAATGATTTAGAATCAGATAAGGTTGGCATTTATACTTAATATGCATCAATGAAGACTTTCAGAGTAGGGTAAATTTGTTTCTTAAAGCAAATGGTAATTCTTTTGGGGTATTTTATATTTTAAAGTCAGTCTTTGAAATTATATTAACATTGTAACTGTAATTATGATTCTAGTTTGCAGATCATGAAGATGAAACACTTTTGCAAAGAGCATGCATTTTTAAAAAAAATTGCAAGGCAAAATTTCCAAAAAGAAGAATAATAACCTCTGTTTTTGACAATGAAGGACGAAATATTTTAGTTACAAAGTATATTAGGGCACTAAATCCACCACAGCTGCTACTAGATATGTATCTTGACGATCCTAATGCAACTTTTGTAAGTATGAGTTTATTTTCTATCATACAGTAAGAAATTCAGAACTGCTGAAATTAGTCTTTGACATTCCTGAATTACTATTATAATTTACATTTTGTTCTCTGTAGCTACTATAGAAGTTCATATTTATTACATTAGTAATTCTTGATAGCATGACAAGAAATTTAGATTAATTGTAGTTTTATATTTTTGAATAATCCAGAATTGAGATCTATTCAGTAGATATTTATGACATGTGCGCCCTGGTATTTACATATATTCCTATTTCATTTATAGGATCTTATTTCTCAATTTGTGTCTTTAATTCCTTGTGTATCAGATACATTGGATGAAAATGCTGATGTTGATGTTTGGATGACATCAGAGGTAATAATCCTATATTAAATAATAGATGTAGATGAGTTAATAGATTGTTGAAATAATCTGTTTTACGTGCATTAAAATTCTGCATGAAAAATATTTTGGTTTACAGAGCAAAAAGCCAAATCTTGAATGCTTGCCAACCACAGATTAAGCCTCATTTCGTCTCTTAGCCCAGTCAAATCCATAAAAAGGGGAATGAGCTCTCAGGAAACTTCACAAGCTGACTCATGTGGATTTTGTGAAAAATCCTCCCTCAGTGAGTAGGGTGGGAGTAGGGGGGTTTACATAGGAGGCAAGGCTGTCTCCAAAACCTTCAGATTCCAGATATACCCATATTATCTCTCAGTGTCCCTCTTCCACCAATAGACAGCTTTCTGAGGAGTGTGCTGTCATTGGCAATCTCCTTGGCTTCCGCTCTGCATTTTATGACTAGATGGGGAGATGACAGCATAGAATTTCTAGTAAATAGCTTATTCTTTACCATTTTGCATTTAGCATTGCATCAATTTGGCTATTGGAAATAAAGGAGAGCATGCAGTGCTTCTGTGTAACTACCTTCTGTATTTTGGGAAAAAAGCATGGGTACTGTTGGGAACATCAGTGTTAGAAGTAAGTGCCATAATTTAAAAAATGTTTAAATCTTCATTGGTTTCATCCCCCACGACAGCATAAACAGTGTAATGTGCTAAAGAGAATAAAATATGTAGTCAATAACATACCAAGACAAATATATTGGAAACATTAGGATTGCCATGCCATATCAGACCAATGGTGCATCTAGTCCAACATCCTGTCTTCCACAGTGGCCAGTACCATTTGCTAAGAGGAAGGTGCATTAAACCCCATTGTGGACAATTATGGAGTAGTTTTCCTTAATGGACATTTCTTCCTAGCTCCCCATTAGTTAAAGATTGGTTTGCAGCCTGGATGATTTCATCATCTAAGTAAATGTTTAATCTTCTGAGAATCCTACGAGGCTCTTGGCTTCAATGACATCGGTGAAAATGAGTTCCACAGCTTAATTATGTGTTATGTAAAAGTATTTATTTAATCAGTTTTAAATTTGTTGCTTTTCATTTTCACTGAATGTCCCCTTATTCTTATGATTAGAAGAATTAAATATGACACCACCTAGTTTGCCTTCTCTATTACATTTGTTGTTTTACATATCTCTAGTGTGTCCTCTTATTCATCTCTTTAAACAGCCCCATTTTTTTCAGTCTCTCCTAATCTGGTCACAGCATTCATATTTGAAATCAAAGTGAATAGCTATGTGAGTGAGGCTTGTAAGATTAGGCCCTATTTTCAAAAGATAGAGAAATATTCATGAGGCAGCATCGGGTAAACTTGCCCTTGCTGCACTTTCAATAAACAGAAGACTACAATCTGTTGGGATGTCAGTCTGGCACCTTTCACTAAAGAAAAATAAACTATTTGTAAAAGGCTGAGGAAAAGTAAATATTGGAAGCTCATTTTACTTTCTTCATTGGAATTGTGTATATATATATAAAATTGATGACATCTACTTTTTGTTGGTAGGGGAAAGTGGCATATGTATTAACTCATGAAAATGAAGAATATTTCCTTTGGAATCCCTTGAATGGACAGTGTTATAAACAGTTTGATACGTTTTGTCCCCTACAGAGTGTTGACTGCTTAATCAATAGGGAAAACGTAAGTATGTAAAATTAAACCAAACGAGACAAGGAATAGTGTCATGTTAGTTATAGACAAAGTATTAGGCCATATTTTAAAGGATCAAATAAAGTAATGTAGAATTTACAAAGAATAGGATTCAGGATATTTATATCATTTTAGAGACAGCAAAACTTTGCTGTTTTGCTAGCTAACTAGTATTCAGTATGTTACTACTGTATAGAAACTAATAAGGTTCTACTCTGGACTTTAGATGCTGTCTAGTATTTTAGTATGACTGAATCTGTGAGATCCCCAACATTTTGTTATGATTCTGCATCATATGTTTCATCTGCACCACCTTCCACAATGGTGGTGGAGAATAGGATATTTTAATTATGTGTTATCTCTTTAAATTTTCAATAATTAAATAGAGAGGAAGAAATATTACTACCATGATAAACCATGGGATAAGAACAACTTCAGATACTGTACATAGTAGTTTATAAAGCAGTTTGCAGACTACTACATGAAAGTGTATTGTTTCTTTAAGAGCATTATTTTTATTTTATTTTGGAGTATGCTAAACACTTCAGATCTGTACTGCAGATTCTTAAAGTATGGGTCTGATCTTGCAGTGTTCTTAATGCCCTCAAATCTTGACTTCAGCGAGAGGCAAGAGCACTTAGCATCTCAAGTAATACCCATTGCAGGCATGGGTTCTTCAGTAGTTCCTCTGTACCATAAAGACAGCAATGTTTTTGGTCCATAGGTTAGGACTACAGCTGAACATGAGGAAATCCATTCTGAGATTGGTGCGAAGTATAGAGTTCACAGAGGCCTCCCTAGATGCAGTATCAGCCAGAGCTTTTTATCTTCCCATGGACAGGTTCATGACATTAACAAACCTTGTATCAAAAATTCAAATCAGTCCACAGACCAACAAAAAATTGCCTTCAGTTAGTTGGACACATGGCAGCTTGTACCTTTGTGACTCAACATGTCATGTTATGCCTTGTTGCTTCCCTGGCTCAGAACAGTTCATATCTCAAACAAACAGCCTGAAAAAGCTGGTGTCAGTCCCTCATCAAGTAGAAGACTCTCTCAATTGGTGGAAAGACCCGGACAACGTCTACACAAATGTGCCATTCATCCAACCTTCCCCTTCCATCAGCATAATGACAGATGCATCTCTGGTGGCCAAATTTAGGGATCCACACCATTCAGGGCAAATGATCTACCCACGAGACACAGTTACTCCTCAACCTCCTGGAGCTGAGGGCAGTTAGGAATGCCAGTAACCATTTCCTGCCTTTAATCAGGAACCAATCCATAAAAATCATGACAGAGAATGTAGCCTGCATGTTTTATATCAACTGACAAGTTGTGTGTGTGGAGAGAGATCCCCTTCTCTTTTTGCCAAAGCAATAAAGCTATGGAGCTGATGCGTAGCCAACTGCATTCTAATCTTGGCAGCTTACTTCCTGGGTATACAAAATACTATGGGTGATGACCTCAGCAGGCAGTTCACCCAGAATTACAAATGAGAGTTGGATTCTCAGACTCTCAAGCACATTTTTCTGAAGTGAATCTCTTTGCCATCATTACCAACAGAAATTGCAAACAGTTTTGCTTCGGGGGTGGGTTATAGGTCCTCCCTGACTGGGGGAGGTGCTTTCCTTGTTCTGTGGACAAGAGGCCTTCTCTGTGCACTTCCTCCAATGCCTTTTTTTGAAAGTGGTAAATAAGATCAAGCAAGACAAAGTCAAGATAATGTTGTTAAATCCAATATTCCCACACAGGGCTGGTACCCTTTGCCTTGCCGTTTGTCTGGCGATGAGCCTTCCATCCGTTCCCAGCCTTCTCTCTCTTGATGCTGGGCAGACTCTCCATCCTAACCTGGGAATTCTTTGCCTCAAGGCTTGGTTACTCAGTGGTTCACAGGAGTACAGACCTCCTATTCTGCAGAGGTACAGAAGATGTTCTTAAATAGGAGGAAAAGGTCTATATGAAATACTTACTTGCAAAAGTGGAAAAGGTTTCCAAACAGGTATATTCAGCAACATCTTTGGTCTGTTTCTTCTTCATTCTCTGCTGTCCTTGACTGTCTACTGGAATCCAAAAAGTCCAGGATTATATGAGTTCCCTGAGGGTCCACCTGCTATCTGTAACAGCCTTTCACTCCTTGGTTGAGGGATTCTCAGTGTTTGCTCAGCCCACCACTGCAAGATTCATTAAGTGATTAAGAAATCTTTTCATTCACATTAGAGAACCCATCCTTGTATGGGATTTAAACTTTAAACTTTTTACTCCGATGTCTTATGAAACTCCCTTTAAAAGCGATGGCCACTTATTCCCTCCTTCATCTATCCATGAAAACAACCTTGTTGGGGGCTATCACTTCTGCTAAAACAATTGAGGAACTGGGAGTTTTAATGGCAGACCCTCGCATTACAATGTTTTTCAAGTACAAAGTTTCATGTCCACTTGCAAAATTTTTACCTGTTATCATCTGAATTTCATATCATTTAGGTCATACATTTCCCAATTTTCTTCCCAAAACCACACCAGACCAGGGAAGATGCTGCCTTCCATATCTTAGATGTCAGGAGGGAGTTAGCCTTTTATTTGGACAGAACCAGATCATTCAAAAAATCTCCAAGACTGTGTCAATTGCTGACAGGTCCAAAGGGTCCACAATTTCCACCCAGAGGCTCTCTAGGTGGATTTTTGAATGTATTATTTCTTGCTATGAATCCGACGATTTACAACCTCCCTCTATGGTATTGGCCAACACGGTGAGATTACTTTCTACTTTTATGGCATCTGCAAAGCTGCAAATTGGTTTTCAGTACATATATTCTCCAAGCACTATATGTTGGTTCATTCTTCTAGATCAGATGCTCCTCTTGGGAACACAGTTTTGTTTTTAGTATTAGACTCAGCTCTGAAGCTCACTTCTTCTGTGGAGGATACTGCTCGGAAGTCACCTGAAGTCAAGGATGCATAGGGACATTACTCAAAGAAGAAGGAAGGTTACTTAGCTTGTGCAGTAACTGGAGTTCTTTGAGATGTGTGTTCTGTGGGTGCTCCACTACCCCCTCTCTTTCTCTTCTGCTTTGGCGTTTCCTCTGTGGCACTTAGTGGTGGAGAAGGAACTGAAGATGGTTCTCCCACACAGTCCTACATATCCTCTGTGCAAGGCACAAGGACGTGTAGGGCACATGGGTGGGGTGAATGGGGATTACTAGCAAAAATCTCCAGTCAAAGGCTCATGGGGTGAAGGCACAGCTGAAGTGGAGCACTCACAAGGACACACATCTTGAAGAATTCCAGTTACTGCATAGCATAAGTAGCCTCTCCTTTTCCACACTTTCCTCTCATAGCTTGAGTCCTGAGGAATCGTAGAAACATAGACTTTAAGGTCAGAAGGGACCATTATGATCATCTAATCTGACCTCCTGCACAACACAGGCCACAGAATCTCACCCACCCACTCCTGTATCAAACCTATGTCTGAGATATTGAAGTCATCAACTTGTGGTTTAAAGACTTCAAGGTGCAGAGAATCTTCCAGCAAGTGACCTGTGCCCCACGCTGCAGAGGAAGGCGAAAAAACCCCAGGGCCTCTGCCAATCTGCCCTGGAGGAAAATTCCTTCCCAACTCCAGATATGGCAATCAGCTAAACCCTGAGCATGTGGGCAAGACTCACCAGCCAGACACCCAGTAAAGAATTCTCTGTAGTAACTCAAATCCCACCCCATCTAACATCCCATCACAGGCCATTGGGCATATTTACCGCTAATAGTCAAAGACCAATTAATTGCCAAAATTAGGCTATCCCATCATACCATCCCCTCCATAAACTTATCAAGCTTATCTTGAAGCCAGATAAGTCTTTTGCCCCCACTGCTCCCCTTGGAAGGCTGTTCCAGAACTTCACTCCTCTTAGAAACCTTCATCTAATTTCAAGTCTAAACCTCCTGATGGCCAGTTTATATCCATTTGTTCTTGTGTCCACATTGGTACTGAACTTAAATCATTCCTCTCCCTCCCTGGTATTTATTCCTCTGATATATTTATAGAGAGCAATCATATCTCCCCTCAGCCTTCTTTTGGTTAGGCTAAACAAGCCGAGCTCTTTGAGTCTCCTTTCATAAGACAGGTTTTCCATTCCTCGGATCATCCAAGTAGCCCTAAGGTGATTTGTAGTAGAGAAGGAGCTGGAGAGGCAGTTGGTCCGCACTGCCCCTTGTGCCCTCAGTTCAGAGCACAGGATGCAGTTGCAGACCAACAGACACTGCTAGTTAAAAAAATCTTCTGGTCTCAGGCTCATGGAGTGCATGCGCACGCACACACAGTGGAATACCAATAGGAACCACATGTCTCAAAGAACTCCAGTTACTGTAAGATAAGTAATCTTCCTTTTTCCATTTGACTTCTTTGGGAGTTCCCCATAGGGATGACTTGCAGGTTCAGGCCCTATGTTTGTATTAGTGAAATGTTAGCCAAAACTACAGGTGGTTAAGCCTGATCCTCTTCAGTTGGCAGTACAAGTGCAATTGCTTCCCTCCATCATACTATATAATGGCATTTCTCTGACTTCTTATATACTTGTATTGGTATTAAAGGAAAACATTTAAAAGTACATTTCACATCTTTTAATTTAAAACAATTTTTGTAGATTGATTGCTGCATTTTATACTACTGTTTTGATAGGTCTGGTTCAATACACAGCAAAACAGTTCACCAATGTGCGTAAGTTTTGAAATTTCAAAGGAAGGTTTTTGGAGGCAATTTCTACCATACAATTTTCAATGCATAAAAACACAAACTGTACAGGTAACTCCTCCAATTTTCAAAGTTTATCTGTCTGATATAAATTATAGTAATTATCATTTGTTATGTTTGTTTCAAAAGATCATCATTGTTAATAAGTTGCTGTAAAAAGCGGGCAGTAATTGCTTGAATACCCCACTATTGTAAGCAGCTGTAAATCCTGCTGGGAAAAGGTTAAGTGGGTTGGCTATGCTGATTTAGAGGCAGGTGACTAGTTCCTGAATATAATGGATTTGTGAGTGACTCTATGAGGAAAGATGTGTGTGGAGCAGTCTTGAAGGAGCAGTCAAGCCTGCAGAGAAGGTTTGAACTGAACCATATCACCTTATTGGTATAAGAGCTAAACAAAGTAGGTTGGGAAAGGTGCCTGCTTAAGGTGCCAACTCTATTTTCATTAAGATAGTAAAAGTTAATGGGCAGACCGTTGACTACTGCTGAGGGGATCACACAGTGCAAATTAGGGGTTGTGGAAAGTCTATATGTGTGTGTGCCAAGATGACATAAAGATCATCTTTGCACTGCCCTGATTATGGGGCTGTTATGTGCAAGAACAATCTTCACGCATAAATTAGAGCAACCAGAGAATTGGTCTAATTGACGTGGCTGTTAACAGCCCCAATGGGGCCAAAATCACAGCTCGGGATTGGAGCAGTATGTGCATGTCCCTATCATGGCCCCTTCCCTCCACCCACACCCTCTGTGTGTGCAGCTGGGTAGCATAGGAGCCTCTGGGACACTGGGATGATCCTCAGAGGGCCAATTGTGTTTACTCTATGTACATATTCCACTGACAATGTGTGCAAAGTAGCTGCACTTCATTTGAGGATCTGGCCAAATATCTTGTTATATCTTAACTTCCTATCAAGTATACATCTACCTTTCAGCCAAAAGAAATACTTTACACCCCTACTAATGGAAGCATGGTAGAAGAACTACAGAACAGGTAGGGATCTTTTTGAATACTAAAAGCATGTGACCATAGTGGAAGTTGGGGATGCTCAGCTTCTTGGGAAACCAGGTCAACAGTCCATTACTTTTCTACCACAAATTTATCTTTTCCGAATGGCCTGCTAGTGGAATTGCCTGAAGTATATTAATTCTCTGTATACTAGCCATGTTTATCTAAAAGAAGCGTTAAAGTTTTAGGGCCAGATCATAAAAAATAAATGCTTTAAAAGGTCACAGGGAATTTTGTTAATCATGTTTCATTACTTAAATTTATTTATAAATAGGGCTGTCAGTTAACTCACGCGATTAACTCAAAAAAATTAATCATGGTTAAAAAATGAATCACGATTAATCGCACTGTTAAACAATAGAATCCCAATTGAAATTTATTAAATATTTTTGGATGTTTTTCTACATTTTCAAATATATTGACTTCAATTACAACACAGAATACAAAGTGTACAGTGCTCACTTTATATTTTTTATTACAAATATTTGCACTGTAAAAATGATAAACAAAAGAAACAGTATTTTTCAATTCACCTCAAACAAGTCCTGTAGTGCAATCTCTTTATCGTGAAAGTGCAACTTACAAATGTAGATTTTTTTTGTTACATAACTGCACTCAAAAACAAAACAGTGTAAAACTTTAGAGCCTACAAGTCCGCTCAGTCCTACTTCTCATTCAGCTAATCGCTAAGACAAACAAGTTTATTTACATTTACAGGAGATCATGCTGCCCGCTTCTTATTTACAGTGTCACCTGAAAGTGAGAACATTTGCATGGCACTTTTGAAACTAGCATTGCAAGGTATTTACGTGCCAGATATGCTAAACATTTGTATGTCGCTTCATGCTTTGGCCACCATTCCAGAGGACATGGTTCCATGCTGATGACACTCGTTAAAAAAAATGCCTTAATTAAATTTGTGACTGAATTCCTTGGGGGAGAATTGTATGCCTCCTGCTCTGTTTTATGCACATTCTGCCACATATTGCATGTTATAGCAGTCTCGGATGATGATCCAGAACATGTTGTTTGTTTTAAGAACACTTTCACCTCAGATTTGACAAAATGCGAAGAAGGTACCAATGTGAGATTTCTAAGGATAGATACAGCACTCGACCCAAGGTTTATGAATCTGAAGTGCCTTCCAGAATCTGAGAGGGACGAGTTGTGGAGCACGCTATCAGATGTCTTAAAAGAGCAACACTCTGATGCGGAAACTACAGAACCCGAACCACCAAACAAGAAAATCAACCTTCTGCTGGTAGCATCTGACTCATGATATGAAAATGAACATGCATTTGTCCACACTGCTTTGGATTGTTATCGAGCAGAACCCGTCATCGGCATGGACCCATGTCCTCTGGAATGGTGGCCAAAGCATGGAGGGACATATGAATCTTTAGCGCATCTGGCACGTAAATATCTTGCGATGCCAGTGCCATGTGAACACCTGTTTTCACGTTCAGGTGACATTGTAAACAAGAAGCGGGCAGCATTATCTCCTGCAAATGTAAACAAATTTGTTTGTCTGAGCGATTTGCTGAACAAGAAGTAGGACTGAGTGGACTAGCAGGCTCTAAAGTTTTACATGGTTATATTTCTGAATGCAGGTTTTTTGTACATACTTCTACATTTGTAAGTTCAACTTTCATGATAAAGAATTTCCACTACAGTACTTCTAATGGGAGAATTGAAAAATACTATTTCTTTTGTTCTTTTACAGTGCAAATATTTGTAATAAAAAATAAATATAAAGTGAGCACTGTACATTTTGTATTCTGTGTTAAAAATTAATATATTTGAAAATGTAGAAACATCCAAAAATATTTAAATAAATTGTATTCTATTATTTAACAGTGCGATTAATCGCACGATTAACCGCGATTAATTTTTTTAATCACGCGATTAATCACAATTAATTTTTTTAATTGCTTGACAGCCCTATTTATAAACATTTTGTAACTTTTATCACAGGATCGAAAAGACCTTAAAAAGTAAAATAATGGAATGGCGATTTCAGCAACCAACTCGGTGGCATCGACAGTGTACTGCTCTTCTACGACAAATTCTTCCCAAGCTAGAATTAAGAAATAGGATCTTTGTTACAGACAAAGAAGAAAATGAATTGGAAAGTTTACTGGAACATTATTGGGTTAGTATTTACATTATAAACAATTAAATTTTATAATTTAAATTATAAACAATATTAAGAGAGATTAATTTAAAACTGAGTATGTGTAGTATAAAGAAGGTAATGTGTATAAATAGCTGCAGCACTGAATACAGAAGCTCACTCATGATCAAACATACTTTAATACTGCTTTATTTTGATATAAGTAAGGAAATAACAATGACTAGCTATATAAAAAAGGAACAAAAATAACTTTAAAATGTTCAAAATAAGAACCACAGACATACATTTCTGTAAGTTGACATAGAATATGTAAAACAGTTTTTGCCAGAATGCATCTTATAATAAATCTCACATTTTGGAATTATTTCCTGATATTTCTTTTCATAATGTCACCCTTCTGGTTTCATGTTTTAGAACAACAAAGACAATTTATTTCCATTTTTGCTGTTTACATCTTTCAGATATGTTAAGATGGTTATTTAGTCTCCCACTCATTAGTTATCATTTAGACGGATTGTACTAGTTATTCTTCTTCAAGTGATGATGGTCCCTATCTGTATTCGACACATGGGTGCACTTGCATGCCATGTGCCTGAGTCCGGAAGTGTTCTTAGCAGTGTCCGTTGACCTGCAAGTGCATAGTGCATCTCCTTGAGCTTCCAGCTTAAGGGTATAAGAGGTAGTGCAGGTCGACAGCTATTCAGTTCTCTTTTACTGCTGCATGGCCTGAGTTGGAACCCCGTTCCTTCGCACTTTTAGTTTGCTAAAAGAGTGACTTACTTTGTACATACTTTGTAAATAGTTTGTCTTAGTGATAGTTAGATAAGTTAAGTTTTAGTGTAAACGGAAGCTGAACCAGGGCAAGGCCTTCAAGGTGACATGCAAGTGGGACGCCAGCAACCATTTCCTCCCCGGGGACAGCTTCACCCAATTTGCCAACTGTAGGTTCATCCACTGGGCCCGGCTCAACTGCGTCCCGCTGAACGGAGCAGTCTGCCATGGGAATCAGGACAAGTGATGCAGGAAGTGCGCCTATGCCAACGAGACACTACCCCACATCTTGTGTAGCTGCAAGCCCCATTCCAGAGCCTGGCAACTGCGACACAACGCCATCCAAGATCGCCTAGTCAGAGCCATCCACCTATGGGGAAGGTAGCCGTGAACTCCGCCATCCCCGGAACTGACAGCCAACTGTGACCGGACATCGTCATCACCAACAAGGACCGGAAGAAGATCATCATGGTGGATGTTACAGTGCCCTTCGAAAACAAGACCCTGGCTTTACACGACGTCCGATCTTGAAAGCTGGAGAAATACGCCCCTCTGGCCGACATCCTTAGAGAGCTAAGGGCTACGAGATCCAAACTCACGCGCTGATCATCGGAGCCCTGGGCGCATGGTACCCCGGTAACGAGCGAGTGCTGAGAGAATGTGGAGTCGGTCAACAGTACGCTTGGCTGATGCAGCAACTCATGGTGTCGGATGCCATCAGGTGGTCGAGGGACATCTACATAGAACACATCACTGGACATCGGCAATATCAGGAGGAATGAGCTGGAGTGCCAATGAGAAGTGCAGTCGGGAAAGTAACTCAAATACTTTCCTGATGGACTGTTTTTATCTAAATGGACAACCTATCCTAAATTCTCAATTACTGTGGGACAATCTTCACTCATTGATATATTTTGCTTTCTGCCACCAACTCTCTGTATAACTTTTTTCATGAGTAATGTACCTGAATACATGGATGCTAAATACCTAAACTGTATTCTTCAATTCATTCACCTAAATTTGGGTTATTGCTGATTATGCACTATATGTATCTTATGACTTTAAAAACAAACTTTGTATTTGTGGATAATCTAAGCACTATACCCAGATGTACAGACACTCTTTTCTCAACCTATGTATTAAACATTTTTTTAACATTAGCTTTAATAAAATTTTTAATTCTTGAGCTTGAGTTCAGAAATGTTTCTTAGCAGTGTCCATTGACCCACACGTATGTAGTGCATCTCCTCGTGCTCTCAGCCGAGGGTATAAGAGGTAGTGTGGGTCGATGCCTCTGCAGTTTCCCTCTTACCATTCTGGAATCCAGTCCAAAGCAGAGGGGATGGAGGGCAGCGACCACACATCTCTAAGAACCTCCACTTACAGATAAGTAACGTTCTCTTCTTCCTGGAGTGATGGTCCCTATGTGTATTCCACACGTGGGTGACTCATGAGTAAGGCTAAGATTTCGTCATGGATATTTTTAGGCTTGGTCTACACTTACCCCCCAATTCGAACTAAGGTACGCAACTTCAGCTACGTGAATAACGTAGCTGAAGTTCGAAGTACCTTAGTTCGAACTTACCTCGGTCCACACGCGGCAGGCAGGCTCCCCCGTCGACTCCGCGGTACTCCTCTCGTCTAGCTGGAGTACCGCAGTCGACGGCGAGCACTTCCTGGTTCGACTTATCGCGTCCAGACAAGACGCGATAAGTCGAACCCAGAACTTCGATTTCCAGCTGCCGAACTAGCGGCTGGGTATAGACGTACCCTTAGTAAAAGTCACAGACAGGTCACGGGGAATAAAGAAAATCTCAAGGACCCCTGACCTGTCCCTGACTTTTACTAAAAATATCCATGAAAAGATGGTAAGGGACTAGTCAACTGGGGGTGGCTGGGAGCTCTGGATTTTCCCTTGCCAGCAGCGGCGGGGAGCTGCAGGAATCCCCCTGCCACCGCGGCAGTGGGGAGCTGCGGGGGGTCCCCCTGCCGCCACGGGGCAGGCCAGGGCCTGTGGGGGCCCCCTGCCCCCTCTCCACGGTGACTGGGGAGCTGCAGGAGTCAGAACAAAAAAAACCCACCACTTCCTAAAAATGTTCAGTCTGCTGATTATTGAGGGCATACATAAAAACAAAGCAGGCTTCTTCCCATACTCAGTCTGTGAGAAATTCACCCGTATCGTGACATGCAAAATGAGGCTTAGACGCCACTTAAGACCTCAAAATATGGCTGAAATAGGATTTAAGTGATTCTGGGTGAACTTCATCCTCCACGAATATGAGAGGATCAAAACAGCTTAATGTGGCCACAAGACGCCCGTTCTAGGAAACAGCCAGGTGTATTTGTTTGGAGGCAGCCTTTGTTGTTGTTGTTTTAAACAACTATCATTACTTCAGAACATGTTTAATTCAGTCAATAAAATACCACAATTGTAAATCAGCTTTTGTATAGTGTGTAGGAATGAGGAAGGTGTAATTTCATAGCCATACAGTAGGATAGATTTTGATTTCAGTTACTCCAGTGTATATTTGGAATAGCTCCACTGACTCAGTGGAATCCCTCTTTGCTATCTTAACCAAGTGAGACACAAACAAAAAGCATGCAAAATTTTCACAGATGCACTGAAAATCTTCAGTACACTAGATATCATACAACTTCTGCCACAAACAATAAAATGGAATTTAGATTGAAAGCTTAAAAGCCTTTTTTCTGTAATGTATTTTCTCAAAGTTTCTGTTCTGTAACTTCACTTTAAATCACAGTACTTGGGATATTCCATTTTCTTGAAGGAAAATATTTCTACAATGATTCTATTTATCATGGTCATATTCCATAGATTCTCCTGAAAGATCCATTCATTAAATAGAAAAATGGAGCTGGCTGGGGAAGCAACAGAGCACTAACCCTAGTTATAACAACATTATGAAACAAAAGCAGAATTGTGTTCCAGTTATTAATCATCCCTTGTGTGATATTGTTTTCCCTTTATACTGTGCATCTGCTCATAACACAAGTATAAATGTTACTGTACATAAAAATTATTTTAAAATTCTTCATAATGATTTATTATAAGATACCCTCTTTGGGTGAGATTCTGTGCTGTGCCTCTAGAGGTATTATCTACACTTCGAGCTGGAGGTATAAATTCCAGTTTGAGGAGACATACCTGTGCTAGCTCTGATTGAGATAGTGTGCTAAAAATAAAATTGTAGCTGTAGCAGCAGCAGGGGCTAGCTGTCCTGAGTACCTATTAATGTCTTGGATGTACTTGGAGCATGAACTTAGTGTCTTAGTGTAATTGGGACAATTAGTCTCTCCCATAGCTTACACTGCCGTGGCTACACTCTTTTTAGCACTCTAGCTTGATCAGAGCTAGTGTGGTTATGTCTCCTCAAGCTAGAAATTACACCTCCCAGCTCCAAGGTAGACATACTCTCAGAGGCATAAGCATAGAATTCACAGCAGAAGTAGAAGTGGGGGCTAAAGTGGCTTTAAGATGTCTCTGTGCCTCTCCAATGCTGGGCTGTTCCAGGGGCTGGAGAAGCTCTTGACATAACCTAGAGACAGCTTCCCTGGGCTGCCCTATGGAATGTAGTGCTGCATGCTGTTCGCCTGGCCTAAAATGCCCCTCCTACCTCTGTGCCAGGGCTTGCAAGAGGGTCCTCAGAAGAGCACCTTATGACTGTCTCCACAAAACCCGCACAGAGGGAATCCTCCTGTAACGATGCTGGTTCTGGCGGGACCCAACTGAGAGTGCCAATTCAGGACAAATTACTAAAACAGTGCAGTTACAGCCCAAGGCTGGTGTTTTTCCACCTCTAAGGCAAACCAAACCAGCCAGACAGTGAAGACTTTGGTCTCACCCCACTGGCTAACCACAAGTCAAACAAGCAATTCTCTTAGACACTCCAGTTTCCCAGTATCACCACCAGTGCCACTCGTTATGGGGACAAATGGTTATGAAAACCAATACCCCAATAAAAGAAAAAAGGTTCTCTCGATCCCAAAGGACCAAGCCCCAGACCCAGGTCAATATACAAATTAGATCTTACCCACAAATCACGCTGTTGCCAGTCCTTTAGAATCTAAAATCTAAAGGTTTATTCATAAAAGGAAAAAGATATAGATGAGAGCTAGAATTGGTTAAATGGAATCAATTACATACAGTAATGGCAAAGTTCTTGGTTCAAGCTTGTAGCAGTGATGAAATAAACTGCAGGTTCAATATCAAGTCTCTGGAGTACATC